TCTGGCTTCAGGTTGATTCAGCTCCTGCCATTGCGGAGTGAACCAATAGATAGAAGATCTTTCTGTATCTCCTTCTCTCTGTCTATCTGCCTAATAAAATAAGTAAATAGACATGCATGTTATTTTAAATATTGAACATTGTAAAAAGCTTTATCCTCTACCTTGTTAACCTAATTCTACACTCTTTATCATTAGTAATTTAATGTGTCCCCAAAGATGCATTTACATTCTTTTTTTTTAAAGATTTATTTATTTTTATTGAAAGGCAGATATACAGAAAGGAGGAGAGAAAGAGAGAAGATATTCTGTCTGATGGTTCACTCCCCAAGCGGCTGCAATGGCTGGGGCTGAGCCAATCTGAAGCCAGGAGCCAGTAGCTCTTCTGGGTCTCCCACGCGGGCGCAGAGTCCCAAGGCTTTGGGCCGTCCTCAACTGCCTTCCCAGGCCACAAGCAGGGAGCTAGATGGGAAGCAGGGCGTCCAGGATTAGAACTGGCGCCCATATGGGATCCCGGCATGCAATGTGAGGACTTTAACCACTACACTATTGTGCCAGGCCCGCATTTACATTCTTAAGATTTAGTTTTATTTTGCTTTTTAAAAATGTGGGATGTATAAAAGCTTGTGAGAACTATTTTTTGTTTTGGAGAAACTGAAGACTGGAGGAATAATTGATGGGAAGAAGTAAATTCATTGTATCTGTGTCCACCTTGGCTATAGAAAGTGTCTGTGACAAAGATGGACTTACAATGAAACTGTTTACTCTATCTTGACAATAGGATGTTGGACTTCCTGCCATTGTCCATGCCCGCAATTATGAACATATGACTGTGTATGAAGAACTATACTTTAGTAATGATAGAGGAACTAGGCAGGGGGTGGGAATTGGGGCTGGGATAAAGGAAATACCAGGAGCCTATGGAACTGTATCATAAAATGATAGTAATAAAATGAAAAACAAAAGTGTCTGTGAAAGGCATTAATTAGGAATAGATGTCACATGCTACTGAAAATGATGGAGAGGTACAAGGATGGGACCTTGAAAGGTAGAAAGCAAAAAATGGGTGTCTTCCAAAATGGAGAGAAAGCATTTCCCAATTATTCTGGGGGATTGAAAGTATGTCGATACTGTGAATTCATGTCAGGTATTAAGATGAACCTAAACAAAGGCAGTTTCTTTTGGTGTTGTGTGTTTTTTCTGCAGCATTGTTCTTGCCAAGTTGCCCACTTCATACAAAACAATTCCTGATCAAATGATCATTTTTTTTTAAAGATTTTCCAATTTTTTAATTACTGAAAAGGAAAATTTACAGAGAGGAAGAGAAATAGAAAGATCTTCTATCTGCTGCTTCATTCCTCTGACGGCTGCAGCGGCCAGCAACGAGCTGAGCCAATCCAGTCCAAAGCTAGGAGCCAGAAACCTCCTCCAGGTCTGCTACGTGAGTGCAGGATCCCAAGGCTTTGGGCCATCCTCTACTGCTTTCCCAGACTATGGGAGCTGGATGGGAAATGGAGCAGCTGGGACATGAACTGGTGCTTGTAAGGGGAGGATTAGCCACTTTAGCCATTGTGCTGGGCTGAAATGATGTATTTAACATATTGAACTCAACAGTAAGACCAGATATGCATTGTGAAGCTAAGTGAAGTAATATTGCACATAACTTTAAATTCTTAAAATACAAGGTTTTTTTTTTTTTTTTTTTTTTTTTTTTTTTACAGATCTATTTTTGAAAGGCAGATTTACAGACAGAAGGATAAATAGAAAACAACTTTATAAAACATGGGATGGAACTGATACAGTGGCATAGCAGACCCATCTTTTTTACTGTGCACAGGGTCTGTAAACCAGGTCTCAATTCCTTCTATCAGTTATTAGCATGAAAACTGGTGCTTTTCATAAATACTATAGTTCTCATGCTGGCTTCCATGAAACCACTGCCATTCATAAGGAATCAGGTCTTTCTACCATGAATATTATGTTTATTTCCAAGGTGATAGAAAAATTAGTTAATGCAAGGATAGAGCACCTGTTTTTTTTTTTTTTTAATTCTTTGTTCTTTCTGTCTATCTATCTTCCCCAAAGTTACAGAGCTCCCATCCACTGCTTGACTCTTCAAAAGACTGGACCTGAGCCATAGCCAGCTAGAAATTCAGTCTGGGTCTCTCAGGTGGATGGTAGGACACAATGATTCCCAAAATCTGCATTAGGAGAAAGCTGGAGTTGGAAGCTAGAGCTGTATTTCAAACCCAGCTGCTTTCATTTGGGATGTGGGCATCTTAACCACTGTACTAAAAGCTAACTGTAAGTCTAGTTTTTAAATTTGGTATGTGTTACCACATGAACAGGTAATAGGTGACCAAACAAATATTGAGGAAACAGAATTGCTATACCAATTTTTCTTTTAGGAATTCATAGTTACTGTTATGATTTTTATATTAAATACATGTTTGTAGTTATACTATTATATGTAGGTTCTTCAGAAAGTTCCTGGAACATGCTTCTGTGTACAACTAGCCTGGATATCAGATATTTTGTGCCATAATCTTTAATCCCATTTTTGTAAGGACTTTTTGAAGTCCTTTTGTACATTCTGAAAACATGTTGGCAAAGCCTGTGTTGTGGTGCACAGTTTGACTCTTTTTGGGGTAAAAATGAAACTCCAACTCTTAGAAATAGCTTATACCTTAACTTAAAAAAATGTGAAAAAGAGTTAATATAAGCAGATATTGGGCAGGAGAAGCAGGAGACACTTCACCAAAGAGATGATATTTGAGCTACTTTTAAAGATGAGTAGGTGTTTCTCCACACAAAAAGTTAAAGATGTGACTGAAGTGAGAATTCATTATGTAAATAGGAGAGAGTGATCTAATTAGGGAGACCATTGTGAACAAAGCAAACAAAAGTATGAAAAGGCCTGTCATGGTGTAATGCTACAGCAGTTTAGTATGGCAAGAGGATGGCATGTGTATACCATTAACAGTTTTTAAACAAAATAATTTTTCTATGGATTTTTCTGTTCTTGTAATAAACCTCTGTACTTTAGTAAAGAAGGATATATTGGAGTTTTATTGGTCTGGAAGCAGGGAAACCATGTTGGGAGGTTAATGTAATCTAGACAGAAATTGAAGGTATGGAGTGGCTATTGCCACAGTGGTAGGGATGAGCAGGAAGAAGTCCATCACCAGAGAAACTAGGTGATAGATTGAGGAGGAGGAGTTGAGATTGACCTGGTTTGTGTTTTCTGAGGTTTTGTAAATGTCCTATTTGCCCATCTGATAAAGTATATAGAAGAAACTCATTTAACAAAGACATGGTTAGATTGCTTTAGAAAACTACTGGCTGAATGTTTGGGAGATTATTAAGATATATGGAACTGCAGATAAAGATTTGGAGTTGCTGGCATATAAATTTTAGATAAATTTTAGATAAAACCAGTAGATTGATGAAGTTACCTGGGGAAAATTTCTAGAGCTAAATTTTCAACTTGTAATCCAAAACCCTGGAATTACCCAAAATGTTACATGTGTGATTTGTTTTGGATAGGCCTATAGTTTTCATCAGATTCTCAAAAAGGATAAACGTTTGAAACTGTAAATAAGAGCCAACTGTTTAAGTCATGGGCAGGTAATGCAGTCTCAACAGGCGAAGTACATGCATCAGTATGAGGTCAGGTGAGATGAAGTCTGAAGAGTTTATTTGTTGATTTGGCAGATTAGTAAAATTGTTCCAGATTAGCAACAAGGAGTTATGTATTTGTGTTTCGTAAGTTCACAACAAAAACAAAGAATGGTTGGCCTATAATAAAATTAAAATTCTTCATTCAAGTGTTCAAGATTGTCTAAAGTCTGCTCTTGTCTTGCCATTAATTTTATTTCACATGAACATTTTGAACATAAAGCTAGATGAATCCATCTTTTCTTAAAAGATTTATTTTTATTGGAAAGTCAAGATTCACAGAGAGAAGGAGAGACAGAAAAATCTTCCATCCGCTGGTTTACTCCCCAAGTGGTTAGAGCACCCGGAGCTGAGCTGATTTGAAGCTTCTAGGAGTTTCTTCCGGTCCCTCACATGGGTGCAGGTCCCAGGGTCTTGGGCTGTCCTCAACTGCTTTCCCAGCCACAAACAGGGAGGCAAAAGGGAAGCAGAGCAGCTGGGACATGAGTTGGTGCCCACACAGAATCCTGGCGTATGCAAGGCAAGGACTTTAGCCACTAGGTTACTGTGCCAGGCCTAAAGACTCCATCTTAAACTGTTTTCTGCATACTCCTACAAATCTCAGCTCCAGGCTTTTGTTCCTGTGTACCTGTTCCCTAGCCTACACATTCTGTCAGAGCGGTTGGCTCTACTTTTTCTGTTACCTCTTCTATCTAACCTGTATTCATTTCCTTCTTTATATTCTTGTATTGATTGTTGTATGGATTGTCTTTTTTTTTTTGGCATTTAAAATGTCATAGCCTTGTGAATTATTGTTTGTACTTATTGCCTTCTATCCATAATGGGATTTTTTAGGTCTAGTGTGATTTTTTTGAATACTTGCATTTCATCATCCTTCCTCGTAATCCAAACTTCAGATACTTTTTTTATAGACAACACAATGTGCGAGTGCATCTAACTTCAGCCAATATAATAGGGAAAAATGTATGTTAAAAGAAATTCTTTTTATGCGTTCTAATTACATAGGAATGATTCGTGGATCTTTTATTAAACCTTTTTTTTTCCATTTCTGTTAGTAATCAGAAGTTCATTACATGTCACAATAAGAAAACTTATCCATAAGCTTATGGTGCTTTTGGATTTTATTCAGAATTTTAGATCATTGAATTTTAAAGTGATTTTTCTGTGTAAATATTTCAAAAAGGAAGTGTGGTTTTCGATCTGAAAACTAAAATATACTTATAAATAGAAGACAAATCTACATAGTAGAAATAAAATATTGCTGTTTCTATGCTCTTTTGCCAAAGGCATTCATGTTTTATATTTACTTTCTACAAATTACATAGGCTGAATGGGATTAACGTACAGAACTTGGTTAAAATGCAAGTGACTCATCCAAGATTAAACAGTAAGATATTTCAGAAGTAAACTTCTGTGTCAGATACTCTTAACTTTTGGTCAGAGAAAAAAATTTTAAGGATTTATTTTTCTTGGAAAGGCAGATCTACAGAGAGAAGGAGAAACACAAAGATCTTTCATCCGCTGGTTCACTACCCAAGTGACTGCAACGGCCAGAGCTGAGCTGATTTGAAGCCAGGAGGCAGGAGCTTCTTCCTGGTCTCCCATGCTGGTTCAGGGTCCCAAGGATTTGGGCCATCCTGCACTGCATTCCCAGGGCACAAACAGGGAGCTGGATGGGGAGATTGGAGCAGGTGGTACTGAAACCAGTGCCTATATGGAGTGCTGCACTTGGATGTAGAGGATTGGCCGGTTGAGCTGTTGCACCATCCCTGGTCAAAAGATAATTTAATCATGTGACTTAAAACCAATATATGTTTGTAATTTTTCCATTGCTTGCTGGCAATATGTGGCAGGCACAGTGCAAGGCTAGGGCAGGAAAAACTGCAACAGAAAAAAGGCCAGATTTACATTGCTTATAGTGAAAAAATAGTTTAGTGAAATCGATATGTTCGGTATTTCCAGCTGGATCTCATAACTGTTTCAGTATATACTTGTTAGCAACAATCTTAACATGTACTGGGTACTTGACAGCAGACAGAAATCCTTAGACTTCAGGGAGAAAATTTGATTTGAAAAATACTTAAGTGTATTTCCATGCTTTTTTAAAATTTTAGAATCACAATATGTATTTTCCCTGGAAACCATTGCCGTGTATATCCTGGCACAATAATTTAATCATAGACTTGAAAATTTTTAATTGTGATTAAACCAGAAAAAGGAATGTTAAGCTGATTTTCAAAAAAATAAGCAAAGTGGTATTTTTTTTTAAAGATTTATTTATTTTATTGGAAAGGCAGATGTACAGAGAGGAGGAGAGATAGAGAGGAAGATCTTCCATGCAGTGATTCACTCCCCAGGTGAGTGCAATGGCCGGTGCAATGCCGACCTGAAGACAGGAGCCAGGAACTTCTTTCCAGGTCTCCCATGCGGGTGCAGGGTCCCAAGGCTTTGGGCCGTCCTCGACTGCTTTCCCAGGCCACAAGTAGGGAGCTAGATGGGAAGTGGAGCTGCTGGGATTAGAACAAGCGCCCATATCGGATCCCGGGGCATTCAAGGCAAGGACCTTAACCACTACACTATTGTACCAGGCCCAGAAGTCATTAATTTTTTACAGTCAGCTGCCTTTTTAATGAGAAATCTTAGTGAATATGGCATCATGACAGTCAGACTTTGAAAGAAGAGAACATAGGTCACTAGGCTGAGGGCAGAATTTTCAGGGGTCAGCGCCATGGCATAGAAGGCTATAAGCCTCCACCTTCGGTGCTGGCATCCCATATAGGCATTGGTTCACATCCCAGCTGCTCCACTTCTGATCCAGCTCCTTGCTCATGGCCGGAAGCAGTAGAGAATGGCTCAGGTCCTTGGCCCCTGGACCCATGTGGGAGATCTAAAAGAAGCTCCTAGCTTTAGATCAGCTTAGTGCTGGCAGTTAGCGGCCATTTGGGGAGTGTGCCAGTGGATGGACAAGATCTCTGGGTGTGTGTGTGTCTCCTTCTTTCTATAACTCTACCTTTTAAATAAAAATAAACATATCTTTTAAGGCAGAATTACAAGTAGCATAGGGATAAATGAAACTGCTCTTTGGTGGCTTGAGTCCCTGCTGCCATGTCCAATTACAGATGAGTCTAAACAGGATCAGCATTCTCTAGAACAGCACTGTCAAACAGAAATATAAAAGAAGCTACAGGTGACATTTAAAGTTTTCTAGTAACAGTAAGCAAAATTAAAAACAAGTGAAATTACTTTGCATAATACATGTAATCAGTATTTTTTAAAAGTTACATATTGCATGATTTTTTGGAGCTAATTTTGAAAATTCAGACTCTCCAATACTTAATGCATTATTCAGGCTAGCCACATTTCAGTTTCAGTAACTGGGTATTAGTAGCTACTGTGTTGGACAGTCGTCTCTAGCACATTGGTAAAATTTGTGCCTGTGACATTGAGAAATGGAAGTTCCTTCATGTCTAAATTCCAGTTAGGGACTTCAGAGAATGCTGCATCTGTGCTGGCCAAGTGAGCTACCAACCGAGTTCAAAGTAAGTTAGCTTGGGGGTGACTGGGTGGCATCTATTTCCATGATCAAAATAAATATTTGCTAGTTTTACCTGTGTTTAGTAAAATATTTACAAGCTTCTGTACCTTTCTCTTTTTCCAGATAAGACTAGTCTGTTGTCAAATACGTCACATTTAAATTATTTTATATAATATTTTTAAATAATGTTAATTGTATGGTCTACTACATCTGTCCAGAATCTGCACGTATTCTGAACTGTTACTAAAAAAAAATAACAAGTACCTTATTCTGTTTTTGTAGCTGTCCTGTGGTTTATTGCAATATATTAAACTGAAAAAGAGCAGAACTCCCTTTGGGAAACTAAATTTTGTACTTCCAGCATTGGTTTGGTGAATTTATTTTGGCAAAAAAGTATTTAGCTATACAGCAAAGCTTTCTATGTATACATTAAGGTATTTTAAGTACTTCAGACTATCGTAATCTGATTTACTCTTCTTTTATATTTTAAGGATATGGAATACTATCTTGTAAAATGGAAAGGATGGCCAGATTCTACAAACACTTGGGAACCTTTGCAAAATCTCAAGTGTCCATTACTGCTCCAGCAGTTTTATAATGACAAGCATAATTATTTATCTCAGGTAAAGAAATGCAAAGCAATAATTCCAAAATACAGTAACAAAGCTTTGAAACCTGCCATTGCTGAGTACATCGTAAAGAAGGCTAAACAGAGGATAGCTCTGCAGAGATGGCAAGAGGAGCTCAACAGGAGAAAGAATCATAAAGGAATGATATTTGTTGAAAATACTGTTGACTTAGAGGGCCCACCTTCTGACTTCTACTACATCAATGAATACAAACCAGCTCCTGGAATCAGCCTGGTAAATGAAGCCACCTTTGGTTGTTCATGCACAGACTGCTTTTTTGAGAAATGCTGTCCTGCTGAAGCTGGAGTTATTTTGGCTTATAATAAAAACCAACAAATTAGAATCCCACCTGGTACCCCCATTTATGAATGCAACTCGAGGTGCCAATGTGGACCTGATTGTCCCAATAGGATTGTACAAAAAGGCACACAGTATTCACTTTGCATCTTTCGAACTAGCAATGGCTGTGGCTGGGGTGTAAAAACACTTGTGAAGATTAAAAGAATGAGCTTCGTCATGGAATATGTTGGAGAGGTACGTTCACCTTATCACATAGCAGATGATGTTCATGTAAGTTTAAAAATTTGAAAAATTACATCCTTTTACGTTGGTAGTAAATATTTAATATCTTTTCATATTTGTGTGGAAATTTACCTTCAGATTTAGAGGAATTAGTCACTGGCATCATTAGATATACAACCTTTAATACAAATGAAAAATACATATGATGGCAAGTTGGCATAGTCATCTTTCAAGGAACACTCAGACACTGAGCCTCACATTCATGAATCTTTAAATATGATCCAACTAATTTTACACAAAAGGAAATTGGATCTAAACACATGCTGAGTTTGGAGCTTTTATAATGTGCTTTATCTGCTTAGCTAAATACAGTTAAATGTAATTGCAAACCTTTAGTATCAGTATTAAAGATATTATATAGAATAGGTTAATGTTTTATGAGCAAATATAAAATAACCACAAAAAGCATTTGTCACATAGGAAAATCACTATATGCAAATGCCATTTTCCAAATTACTACATAAATACGAACAAACTTATACAAATCATATGGAAATACATATGAAAAATGGAATTTACTGTGTGTTACATACTATTCTAAGCATCTACATATTATCTCACTAATATATCTTCATTATTACTGGTAGAACAATACAGTCACAGAGAAAATGAGCAGTTTGCTCAAGGTTTCACAGTAGTAAAGAGCCAGGATTCAAAACCAAGGATTTTGAGAATGCAAAACTCTATAATCAGTGTTCTTGACTCCTCACCACAGTGCCTCAACTGAATGGAGGGATATCCTATGACTAGAGAGATGTGTGTGCCTACCCACTGGGGTTCTCAGTTCTGCCTGGTGTTTTATGTAAAGTGGAATTGGAGGACTTTAAATTACCTGGATTGCATGAGATCCCTGTTTTGATCCTCATATGTTAATATTTTTAATCCAAGAGAGATCACTTCTGCTAGTTCACTGCCTACATGCACACAGTGTCTGGACTCAGCCAGTGTGAAGTTGGATGCTGGACGTTCAGGCCAGTCTCCCATATGGATGGCAGGCATGTAACTACTAGAGCCATTTGCTGCCTGTGGGAGTGTGTGGTAGCAAGCAGTTGGCAGCAGAATGGGAACTAAAACCCAAGCACTCCTATATAGAATGTGACTGGCCCAACTTGTTGCTTAGCTGTAGGCCTGTGCTCATCTCTGATTGGCATACTTTTAGACAGTGGCAGATTATTTTAAATGACAGAATACTAGATCTTTTTTTTTTTCTTTAAGATTTATTTATTTGCAAGATAGAATTACAGAGAAACAATGCTTCCTTGTGCTTGTTCACTTACCTAATGCAGGGTCTGGGGCAGGCTAAAGCCAGGAACCTAGGTCTTTCATGTGAATACAGGGGCCCAAATATTTTTGGCTGTCTTTTGCTACTTACCCAGGTGCCTCAGCAGGGAAAATACCAGATTTGTTTGTTTGTTTGTTTTTGTAATCAAAAGCTGCCTTTTATCCCCCTTACAACCAAATTTGTTGACAATAATGAATCACATTCAGCATTTTTAGTTTCTTAGCTGAGTGGTGCTCTTAAGAGCAGAACTGCAAATAACTTTAAATATAACATTTCATAAAAACAACCTAGTCAGCAAAATAAAGCCTTCCGTATAGTTAGCTGCAGATTTAGTTTACCTTCTCTTCTGTGTCTATAACAGATTTTCATTTGTAACAATACAGCTTAGAGGAAAATTATGCGGGGAATATAAAACATTTTTTTTTCTCTGCCCACAGCCTTTTGGCTGTAAAACATTATTTGCAGGCCATACAGAATTATCTTTAAAATTAGCCTGTTGCATATTTATTGAATTTCAAGTCCTCTTTGACAGACCAAATGGTTTTTCAGGCTTTAGGTGGCCTGTGAGCCAGATGCCCTTCAGCTCTGCTGGAGCACTTAGCCCTCTAAATTAAGTCCTTTGCATTCATTCACTAACATCCTTCACACAGCTGTATTACTAGAGCATCCTAGTAATAGGGAAAGTAGTGTGGTGATTATCTCAAAATCCTGCTTAAAAAGCCACAATCTTTGGCACCATCATCTTCCCACCTTTGCTTTCCTGTTTGTCATCTAGCGCTTAGTTTGTTTGCATGATTATTTTGATGACACTTGGATTTCTTATTTTTTTGTAGACACTAACTTATTGATTTGTGGATGGGTGTTTTCTCAGTAGCTTTGTTCTGTTTAGGTAATCACAAGTGAAGAAGCTGAAAGACGGGGACAGTTCTATGACAACAAAGGAATTACGTATCTCTTTGATCTGGACTATGAATCTGATGAGTTCACAGTGGATGCAGCTCGATATGGAAATGTGTCTCATTTTGTGAATCACAGCGTAAGAAGAAATACTTAAAAATATAAACAGTTCAACCTAGTACTATTTTTAATGAATAAGTGTCATTAAACTACTTATCTCTTAGCACTTCCAATATATTTTGTTATAAAGGCTGAACCAGGGCTGAGCCAGGCTGAAGACAGAAACTTAAAGCTTCTCCCAGGTCTTCCACACAGGTGCAGGGGCCTAAGCACTTAGGGCATCCTTCACTGGTTTCCCAGGTGCATTAACGTAGCTGGAATGAAAGTGGAGCAATCAGGACTCGAAACCGCACCCATGTGGGATGCTTGTATCACAGACAAGTTTAGTGTGCTACACTACAAAGCCAGCCCAGCCTCTTCTTTTTTAAAGTCTATTTTATGTTATTGTTACATTAGGAGCAGTGTTTGCTTAGGAAACTAAACATTGAGGTGGCTACCAAATAGAATGCACTTTGGAAGTGCATTTAGATTTTACAGTGAATTGTTAAGGTAGATATTCATATCACATGAAATCAATGAGCAGAGATTTATTGGTTTAAGAATCACGTACAACAACAGATACCTCAGGGTTAACACAAAGATTTAGAATGTTTAGAATATTTGCCTGCCAGTTTGTCAGCCAGAGTCAGTCATGCTTTGAAAATAAAAGAATTCCAAAAGTGAGGAATTTGTAAATTTTAGCTTGCATGACATCTGAGTAATATAATAAAGTCTCATGCCATCCTGTATGTGCCTGTGGACATGAGTCGTCCTGTTGTTCAGTGAATCCATGTTGCTTTCTGGGCTACCCACCCATTAGTTGTGTGGTAGCCACCTTGGTTATCTGAATGTCATAGTACTGCAGCGCTTGTGTTCAAGTAGCTCTTACTTAATGTCTCCAAAATGCAACAGTAGTGATGCTGACAACGACAAAAGGCACAGAAGCTATGACGTGCTTCTTCCAAGTAAAAAGTGGAAGTACAGTAAAATATTCTGGGAGGAAACACAGTCACATCATTTTTATTACAGTGAATTGTCATAATTCTGTTATTTACTTTTGTTATTTTTCATTATTATTAATTGTTGTATCTAATTTATAAGTTAAATACCTGTATGGGAAAAAGCATGGCATATATAATAGATAAGCATTTGGTACTAGCCATGTTTTTAGAAATCCACTGGACTGCATCCACTGCAGATAAGAAGTGACAATTGTACATTTGTGACTGAAAGTAGGGGTGTGTGGCGGGGTGGCAGTGGCAGGAACCCCCAACTGCTTGAGCCATCACCTGTTGCTTCCCAGGGTAAGCACAGTAGGGAGTTAGGAGTTAGGAGCAAAGCGAGGACTTGAACTGAGGTATTCCAGTAGGATGCTCACATCCAATGACACCAAATTCTCACCCCTAAATATATTTTGTTAAAATTGTAAACATCAACATTTTTATAAATTTTAAAAAGTTAAGATTTAAATTATTATAAAGTTGCATTCTTTCTTTTTAATTTGTATTTGGTAGAATTTAGAATATGGCTAGACTCTTAAGTGCAAAATCTTATACTCTATATAAACTCTTTCCAAAAATTAAGTTCATTTCAGGTGAATAATATAATATTAGGCTTCAGTAGTTGACATTGCTTCCATTTATAGATAAGAAAAATGTTGCAGGGTTAATGTAAATGACTGTTTAGGGATGTACACCTTCTTAATCTGCTCATGGATTTTGCACTAAGAAACAAATGTATAATTGGCAGTGATATTAGAGATCTTCTGACTCCCTCTTTGCTCTTCTGATTAATTGCAGTGCAGTAAGTTAATCCTCCACTCAGGGTTCGTGAGCGTCTGGTCCAATCACTAGTCCACTTCTAGTCCAGCTTCTTGCTAATGCCACTGGGAAAGCAGAGTTAATGGCTTAAGTACTTGAGTCCTGCAAAGGACCACTCACAATGGACACCCTCATGGCTTTCAGGCTGGACTTCAGCCTGGCTCCTGTCGGAGTTGTGAGCCTGTGGAGAGGAAACCAACACAGATGAAAGATTCTCAAAAATTTTTTAAAGGTCCTTTTTTTTTTCCTTACCTGTAAGTTTGAGATACAGTCATCCCTTTGTATCCATAAGGGATTACTTTTAGAACCTCTGTGGCTACCAAAATTCTCAGATGCTCAAGGTGTATTTGTGAATATCCTATTGCATTCTTCCATATCCTTCAATCAACACTTAAATACCTTAACATGCCCAACACAGTGTAAATGGCTGTTATACTGTATTGTTCAGAGAATAGCAAGGAAGAAAGTCTGTTGCATGTTTGGTACACACATTTTCAATACATGGTTAATAATGGATAGAGGTTAACTGTACTCCCCAAACAGATAAGTTCTACTGTCTGATAAACACTTTAAATTCCTAAGGTATTATCCACCAAATCTCTGACATATGCCATAATTCAGTATGAAATTTTCAAAATATCAAATAATTCTACTTGGTTAAGCAGTGAAACTTTATGTGCTGATTTGATTTTTTATTCAGGTTTTATTTATTTTTTTAACAGTACTATGCCTCTTTGAAGTAGTTACAGTGCAATATAATGCAATATTATCTGGGATTTGCACTAAAATTTTTCCAAAAAAAGTTGAAATTAGGTGAACAAGGTTGGCATACATTAATAATTATTGAAGTAATATGATAGATACATGTGGTAGTAGGCATTTATATATTTGGTTTTTAAAAAATAGTTTTTTTTAAGTGTACATCCCTTAAAGGCCTCTAACCAATAAGTAAATTTATTTACAGTAGACTGAAATAAGAATCTTGGGAATTAAATATTTCATATCACTTGTAAAAGAACTCACTTATATTATATATTTTTACCTAAATCTATTCTTTCTTTTTAGTGTGACCCAAATCTTCAGGTGTTCAATGTTTTCATTGATAACCTTGATACTCGTCTTCCCCGAATAGCATTATTTTCTACAAGAACCATAAATGCTGGCGAAGAGCTGACTTTTGATTATCAAATGAAAGGTATGACTTTCAAGTATTGTTTCATTGGTTTCAGTTTCAGTATAAAGGATCAAGTCAGTAAAAGACTTTAGATCACCTGAAACATCTGAAATAGACTGATTAGTTAATGATGAGATTTAAGTTGAAAATAAGTGGCTGTAGGAGCTCGCCCTGTAAGATCCAACACTAATATGACAGCTAAACTAAAGTCCATGTCTGCCTGAGCTTGGTTAGGCTTTAAATTATCAATCTTCCATGTGACATTACTTCCAGATTATTTTCTAGAATCCCCATGCTAGAAGTTTTATTTTAACCTTTTTCCTCAATATAATTTTCAACCTACATTTGTGAATTTTTACTTATTGCTTATATGTGTCACTAATATATTTTAGATTGAAATTGTAATTTAAATACAAAACTTTCTCCATTCCTGCCTGTATCCTTCAAGAACATTTAATTCTGATTTAATTTGATGTTTCCTGTTTTTCTAAGAATGATGCTTTCTATATATTATTTGATTTCATGGTATGTGCTGTTAAGTGAGATGAATGAACAGAATATGGAATTTTCCACAGTTGTCATTTCAGAAATTTTCACAGATATGGGCTGTTAACACTCTGACTGTTACTAGCCCACACTGTCTGTCAAAGGCAGTTTATAACGATTTCTCTCTGAATATTCATTTATCTGTAAACCCGAAGGGAACTTGTATTCTTGTGGGAGTTAACTTTTAGTAACCTTGAATATGTAGGCACCCTTGTTAGTTACTTTAAAGCTAATGTGAGAAAGTTGAGGTTCATTCTAGCTTGTGTTAACTCTCCTGTATTTCTTTGCACTCAGGTTCTGGAGATGTCTCTTCAGATTCGATTGACCATAGCCCAGCCAAAAAGAGGGTCAGAACAATATGCAAATGTGGTGCTGTGACTTGCAGAGGTTACCTCAACTAAATTTTTGGGAAATACAGCTGGTGATAATTTTGTTTTTCTCAGATGTAACAATTTTAAAAATACACATTTTGGACTCCCTTCATAGTATCACAGGTATACCTATGTTAACTTATGATTAATGATTCAAGACATTTGCCAAATGCATTACTGAGTTTCCTGAGGAGAGGTACCCACAGTCACATGGACTAATATAAAATCTACCTATTTAATGACTAGATACCCAAAGTGAAAGACAAATTTTTCAGATCAACATGTGCATTCTAAGCCTGTGGGAACAGAGAAATTCCTCAATTCTTTGACAAGTGTTAAATAGTTGCTGAGATCACACAGTCAACCTGCCACACAACTTAAGAGAGTTAATTCAGTCTGGGTAAATATATTCTATTTTTGTTACTGTATTGTTATGCCTCTTTACTGTTCACTGTATTTGAGACAAATAGGTGATGCTGAATTTTATACTCTTTTCTACTTTTTCATTAAAACATTGATATTTTAATGATACAGAAATGTAAGACATAAAATTAAATGTAAAAAAATCGAATTCAGCTTGATTTTCTATTTTGAAAACAGTCTATCCCATTATGAGGATACATATCAACCTGTAATTCTTGCAAAATTTTTTAACCTTATAGAAGACAAATCTCCAAAAATTCCTCTCTTTAGTCCAGAATGGCTGGATATTATGCTTCAGTGAAAAGACAGGGCAGTGGGACAAGGTTGAGTTTTGGAGTGCCAGAAAAGAAAAAATAGAGTATTTTAAGGGTACTTCTGAATTGCTTGAATTAGAAAATCCATGTGAAAGTTCCTTGGGTCTAAAAATAAAACAAGAACCTGGGGTGCCTCACTAATAATAATGTAACATACATTAACCTGATGGCCTTTCAAGTTCAGGCTACTTTAACATTCCACCAAATTCTTATATTTCCTGTGTGCTTTTCTTCTTCTTTTTTTTTTTTTTTTAAGATTTGTTTATTTTCATTGGAAAGGCAGATATACAGAGAGGAGGAGAGACAGAGAGGAAGATCTTCCATCTGATGGTTCGCTTCCCAGGTGGCCGCAACGGCTGGAGCTGAGCCAATCCGAAGCCATGAACCAGGAGCTCTTCCAGGTCTCCCATGGCTTTAGGCCCTCCTCGACTGCTTTCCCAGGCCACAGGCAGGGAGCTGGGTGGGAAATGGGGCTGCCAGGATTAGAACCGGGCGCCCTTATGGGATCCTGGCGCTTGCAAGGTGAGGACTTGAACCACTGTGCTCATGCCGGGCCCTTCTGTGGGCTTTTCTTAAAATAATCTATTTTGGATTGATATTTGTCTCATATATGAATTTTTTTAAATGTGTTAAGCTGAACTTGGCCAAAGTATGTTTCTGAATTATGAGATTTTTTATTTAGCTAATGACTTATAAATACTGGAGCCAATACTCATTTTTGTGGGGAGGGATGTTTGTGTTTAGGGTTTTGTTTGTTTTCCTGGTCATAGTGAAGCCTCATTCAGGAAAAACTTTCATCTTGGAGTCTGGATTTTCTGATCAGTATTCCCAATTAACTGCTACCAAAAGCTTAGTGTTTAGGCTTTAATGACCTAAAATAAGTATGGGTTTTATTAAAAGTGGATTTCAATAATGTAGCACTTTGAAATACCTTAAAAACTGAATCTTGTTCTAGAATAAGCTATATTTTATTATTGATTGTAATGTCATCACATGATAGTTCATAATATAGGGTAAACTAGTCACAAGTTTGGGATCTAAGAGTATATAAAAATTTTTCAGAATGTGTCTGGGACAAATGCATGTTTGGTGACAATTCTTGTGTTTTCTTGAGGAAATTAGCTCAAATCAGCAGTGAGGAAGGAGTATCAAGCCACAGGTTTATGGTTGCCCCCCAGTGGCCAGGCTCTCAGTTTCTGTTCTCACAAGTATAAAGATATAATTTGTCAATATAATTTGTTTTGTTATCTAGTTTGGTTTCAGAAATCTACCTAAAAACGTAGGTAGATTAAAAAATGTAAAAGTGGAGAGCAAAGGGGAAAAAACTATGTTTACTAAACTTGCAGTTCTGCTTTATCCTTAATAGAAGAAATTACTGGGCCTTGAAGCCCGAAGGACTTGTATTATCTTTGTTATTGAAAAGTTGAACTGAAGCAGTGAAATAGTAGAAACTGAATGAAGCTGTTAGGGGCTGTAAGTATTCTGTCAACATTTAGCTGCTTCAGATGACTTGCGTGAAGAAATTTATCAAGGGTTTCAGACCATGTAAAATGTAAATCCACCGCATTGGTTGTATTAATACCAGTGTTTTCTGTATCTCCCTAAGAAGCCTGTGCAAGAGTAATTTCAGGGTCCCTGAAGATTCTATATGCAGACTCTAGATTGTACTCAATTCTCTTTGAGTTTAGCGTTTGTTGTTTTTTTGTTTCTGAATATTTTATGGTTGTTTCCAGTAAGGCTACAAAAAGGGTAGAAAAGTAATGATGTATCCCTGGTTAGCTCCTGAGATGAACCAAAGCCTCATGCAGTTTCTTTATGTGTTAGTTTCCTTTGAAGAAAGCTATTTGTTATTGTTTATGCTTTTTTGGTTATTAAAAGTATAATTATATGTTCCGTTAGCATAGTGTACATGGATACTTCTGGAATTTTTGAGCCTTATGATCATCAGGTACCTAAATACTAAATATTCTTTGCTAAATACTTGGAAATGCAAAAGAATTTTAAAGGAACTCAGAGGCAGTATTCATTGAACAGGTCTTAGGCCTTTTATACAACATATACTTCTCCTAAATCTAAAAGGTTGGTACTGTCAAACCTTTATAATACCTAACATATCAGGCTTTGACACATAATATTAATATGCCCAAGATCACCCTGCCAGTAAAGTGTAATTAACCTAATTGTAAGTATTTTATCTTTAAATTCAGGCCAACTTAAACAATATAACATTTAAGTAGTAAAAATGTACTATTTTTAAATCCCAGAAATTTTCCCTGAGTCAAGTGGGACTAGCTACTTATTTCTTTTGATATATCTAGGGATTCTGGGTCTGAAAGGCAGGAAGACCGATTTTTCATGTGCTGGTCTACCCTGCAAATACCCATCCTCGTTGGGGTTGGGCCAGGTCGAACTGAAGGCAGGAATATAATCCTAGTCTCTCTCAACCCAAGCCATGCACTGCCATCTTCCAAGGAGCCTGTTAGCCGGAAGTGGAATCGGGAGAAGAGCCAAGACCCGGACCCACGCACCAGGTATCAGATGTGGGCATGCCAGAACAGCAGCTCAACTCATAGACCAAACATGCACTCCTGAAGGTCTAGCTATCATTACAAATAATTCTGTACCTTTTTAGTCTTTCAGAAAGGCATCATAGCATAACATACCAGACTTTCAACTCCAAAGCCAAATTGTGTCTGAATCCTGGCTTTGCCCCTTATGAGCTGTGTGAAGTTACTTCTGTGCCTTAGTTTCCGATCTACCTCACAGGGTGGTTGAAATTAGTGGAATTAATAGAGTGTGTGAAAACTTAAAGCATTGTTGTAATAAGTACCATACATGAGGGTGCTTCAAAAAGTTCATGAAAAAAATAGTATGAGAAAAATGTTTAAATCCATGCACAGTTTTTCATAAGTGTCTTCTGTGAGCCTAAAGAAGACTGCACATTTGCATGGACTTCAAATTTTTTCACTTTAAAATTTTTTTCATTTGAAGTACCCTCCTAAGCATTAGCTGTACCCTATCCCTGTGCTTTTACCTCTCTGATCATAAGACTGCTGAGCAGTCTGAACTAGGTTGTCAGCCCTTCCTGAGATTTATTTAACCAATATTGATACCAAGCTCACACAAGACTATGAAAACAGTGTGATTTATTAAATACTAGTCATATTTACAGAATGTTTACAGTCAATTTCTGAGTACCTACCACAGATCAGAACATATATTACTTAATCGTAAGCATCAGTGAATATATACAAGTAGTTTACATATACGCCAGTTCTTGAGTCTTGCTACCCTAATTTGTCATGTGGGTGCACAGTTTAATTTGAAAATTATTTTTACACTTAGAGTATGTCCAATTTTATTTCCTTAACCAAGCACACTAAAAGTCCTCATCATAAAATAGAAAAATAACCAATTAAGCTAAATGACTCAGAACACATGTATACTTTAGCCATTTAATTTCTTAGGTATTTTCTTTTACATCTTAAGTGGTAAAATCACAATACAATAATTAATCACAACAGGATTCTTAACAGATATAGCACCTTTTGAGATAAATTTGATCTTGAAATTAATCCAAATTTACTTCAGTTTGAATGCAGTATTCTTACGACCCAAGGTGCTGTCTGTGTAGGTACATGTCCTTGTGTGCTTCAGCAGGGACACTGTGCTTTTGCTTCATGCCAGTCCAGTTGGCTTACAAGTGGCATTCAGAATTTTTTCTTACTAAGAATAATTTCATTCTCTATGAGCTTTGTGAAAGGTGTTAAGAGTCCTTAAGTGTAATGGGCATTAACGTGTGTCTTTGCAGTTTTGTTTCATGTACTTTGAAGTTGTTAGGTCTTGGTCAGGTGGGCCTTTTATCATTAGGAAATTGTGATACACAGCAACATCACCTTTTCTTTAGTGTTTATAGGGGGTATCATTTTTCATCCTTTATAAATTGTGCGTATCTCTAGAATTGAGTTTTACAGAAAGCATATAATTGCATTGCCTTTAATGTAATTATTGTCATGTTTGGGTTTAACTGTGCCATCTTATTTGCTTTCTTCATTTCCCCTTTAATGCCTTCTGTTAGGTTTTCCACTTAATACAGTCACAATTGATGATTTTTTTTCCTGGTTGCTCTAGGACCAAGTGTCTTTATTCTTAAATATCCGCAAGTGAGCATTTTCTTCTTTTAACTATTATTCTCTCACCTGTGGCCAGCTTCTCATATAAATGTTGCAAATGCTCTCGCTTCGGAAGTTCAGCTTCTGGAGTTGAGGGGATTTCAAAGTCAGAAGAGCTCTGTGAATCTGTGTTCGTGCTAAGATTTAATAACCTTGCTTCCTCAGGCGTGTGTTTTCCATCACTTACAGTGCCAGGTTCTCCAATCCTAGGAACTACAGTTACACCTTGATCTCTGGTTTTCAAATCAGAGTAGGTGTCCTTTGGGCAAAGTGCACTTTGTTCCAGCTGAGAGGCAGGAATATTCTCTGTGATTTTTAGTCTGCAGCCACCTTGGTTCAAAGAAGTACTGTCTCCATTGTTTCTTTCTTGGGAAGATAATAAAACAGTGTCAGATTGGCTGTCCCAGCCTTGACTTCCTTGTTCTGTGATGTGTGTTGACTGAGAAGAGTTCTGTGAGGAGATATGGGTTGAATCTCCGTCGGAGTCACTGAAAAGCTTTGGTGACTGAGATCCCCCTCCTTCTGTGGAGGAAGGGACTGGCTCCGGACCCTCGTCCAGGATTTCATCACTCCTTTTAAAGAATACTTCCCACTGTGGCACATCCTCTTCTTCCTTTCGCTGGTGAAGTGTTACTGAGTCCAGTTCTCCTTGCAGTGGAGCTGGGATTTCTAATTCTTCTTCACTTTCACTGTTGGATTCTTCACAGTCTACAAAGTTTTCCCAAAGCGAGCTTTGCATGCCCCCCTCTTGGCAGTTGCCTGTGTGTTCTCTCAGTTTTTCACACTGGTTTTCTAATACTGCAGTCCTTGACAGTGCTTCAAAGTGAAGAGTTTGCTGATACGGAATCTTGGGCCTCAAAGGCACTGGGAGAGGATCATCAAAGAGATCACCATCTTCCTCCTCTGTCAGACAAATAGGACAAATCAGCTTACACTCCCAGTGAAAATTTATAGTATTTATATGCATTTTGAAGTGTTTAACTTTTGCAATCTTTGCATCTCTCTTCAGAGAAAAAAGGCTCCTTCTTATGAAATTGTGAACAGTGTAATTATTATACATAGAAGTCATTGGTTCTTAAACCTGGCCTACTGAATCCCTGAAGAAGGGAGGATCAAATAATTTTATTCTGTTCATCACTTGCAAACCCTCTGTGCCCAGCCAACAGATAGTATCCTGGCTACTTTAATTAAAAGCAGTGTTTTCCTTGTGCCTTTCCTTCTGTGATTGAACACTGAATACTTTTTTTATCACTCACAGCCTTATGCACAAAGAGAAACCAGGGTTCATGAAAATATGGAATTTTGTTTTGGTGTAGAAAAATTTGAAATTTTAGAAAGGTCATGGAAAATATGTATTATGAAAGCATTATCATGGATTTCAATTATTTGCACCAAAACTTGTCCAAGCCCTTTTCTAGTAGTTTCAATTTTAAGTCAGCTTTAACCAAAATACTGAATAAACCATATTAAATTTCAAGAACTGAAAGTTAAGCATATTTAAAATCAGTGAAATTAGTTAATTGCCATGTAATAAGTCCAGTCTATTTAAATTTTGAAACTTAAGGAAGCACAAAATTGGAGGTAATCAAGTATTTTCCTATCTTCTTATAACATTTAACCCAGGAAGGAAAGTAAATGCTCTAAATGCTATTTACTGTCCATTAGAACTTATGAGTTTGGTGCTAGTGACTTTCTTCCCAATAACAGATATGGCTAATCGATGTATTGTAAAGCTAGTAAAATAGTGGATCACAGAAACAGCCATCCTGTCCCCTCTGAGACAGGCCTAGAGAAAAGGGCGTGCTGCGCTCAGCCCAAAGGTCCAGCGGCCCGTTTTCACTCACCATTGATCCTATCCTTTAGTCCTAACATGTATGGTTGTTGTATTTGGAATAATATTGGTTGCCAGGAAATAGTCTTATGTTATCTCTACACTGGACAGTGTGTTAGAAGAGTGACTATCCTGATACAACTGGACAATCCTTCTGTCAAAACATTTTCACATTATCTCACCTAAATATACTAGACCAAGTTTCTACTACACTCCTCGAAGTTTAGTCTAATATTAATGTACTTTGTTACCATATAATGTTTTTGAAACTATGAAAAGATATACATGACTGAATCCTAAAACCCTTAAAACCTAATAAAAACAATTTCAATGAAAACAGGTATAAATGCTATAAATTCATGTATTTTCCATCACCATTCATTTTTATTGTCTATAAAAATTGTTATAATCATACTGAAAGATAATTTGGCAGAATGTATTAAGCACCTTAATTGCTACCCATCAATGGTGAAATAGATTTAAGTTCCTGTCATTCATATTTGTGAAACTGAAAACAAAATAACCCAAATGTGTGGCAAAGATTAGTTACACAATCATAACTAAAAGTATGCACCTGTTAAATTGTTTCTGAAAAATAACAATTTTCCAATAAAATGTTTGAAGAAAATATAAACACATAAAAGTGATCTAAGCTGCTTTCCGGCCTGTATGCATCTGTTCAGCCTTGGAGTGTAACACTGCTGAACTACTTCCACAACTCTGAGCACCCTGCTCGGGCCCCGAGTGTCTTTCCTGTTCCCCACTGCCCTGGACTGCAGGCTACTTCTCCATAAGCCTGAGGCTAATAAAACAGAACTTTAATTCTTACATTTTAAGACCTTTAATTCTTACATTTTAAAAAAAAATTTTTTAAAAGCATAAAACCAAATTTGCACATTAAAAGATGTATTACATGATAGATTTTAAAGATGGTCATTAAAACATGTATTACATGAAAAATTTAACCTTTGAACTCAACGGAACTATATTCTAGAAGTTTTAATTACTTATTTCAAATGTGGTTTTCAGGCACCAGTAAAAATAGGTTTGCTGTATTAGTCCTGGAATAGACATCTGAATGCTTTTAAGTTAGATGGATTACATGAGTGGAAATGCAGAAGATGCAAGGGACACACCTAGATTAGAATCCTAACCCCATTCTTGCTTCCTCTTTACTTTGGGGTGTTTATTTAATTTTCTAAGCTGAAGAGTCCTCATTAGTAAAATTGGAAGGATAACCCCTTATGAGTCTATTTAGTTTTATATAGTCATATATAGGGAACTATCATGACACCTGCCAAACTGTTGATGTCCAATAAATTGCATCACTGTTACCTAGTTTGTCTGGGTCATATGTTCATCACTGGGGAAAGTAACTGGCCCTCTACCAAAGGAATGGCAGTCCAGAAAGGTAAGCATCAATCTGACTGCTAGGAAGCCACACAGAAAGCCACAATGTCACCCAGAATCTCAAGTTCTGCTTTCTACTTTAGAGCCTACTTCTTTCCTTCACTGAAAAATAAAATGTAGGAAAGGGGCCTGGTTTATGTCCTCGCTGCTCCACTTCCCATTCAGCTCCCTGCTGCTTGTGGCCTGAGAAAGCAGTCATGGACAGTCCAAAAGTCCAAAGCCCCTTGGGACCCTGCACCCGCATGGGAGACCTGGAAGAGGCTCCTGGCTCCTGGCTTCAGATCGGTGCAGCTCCGGCCATTGTGGCCACTTGGGGAGTGAATTAGTAGATAGAAGATCTTCCTCTCTGTCTTCCTCCTCTCTGTATATCTGACTTTCCAATAAAAATAAATAAATCTTTTAAAAAATATAGGAAAGTATAGAGAAAAATCCATTTGTGTACACAAACACAAACATGATAAGAAGTAAGTCTCCTCAGCATCTAACAGGAATGTTCAAGGAGAACAGCACAGCCTCTCCTTAGTGGTCTATACAGGTCACAGGGCATGCTTCCAGAAGGCTAAGAACACTACACAATATGTGTGGGTTTTCCTGACACTTGTTTTAAACCTGTTAAGAAATCGAACCTCTGACTTTACAGGCTGAATGAGGCAAAATTCCCACAGAGACCAAGTGGGGCCCCTGAGGTGGAAAATCCTATCTGCTCTGCACGGAGTCACTTTCTCCAGATCGGGGCACCCTGACAAAGCAGTCTTTGCAGGAAGCCCAACCTTCTGACTCCAAGACCGTTCTTCCTACCTGAGTCAAGGTGGACTGGTCTAGCTCTCTTCCTCTTCAGTTGCCCAAGTGGTTTGTACTCTGGTTCAGTACTTTGGAAAGATCGGCATAAGGGCTTCAAGCTGAAAAGAATCAGAGTAAATGATTTTTCTTCTGTTGAGAAATGTTGCTGGAGGACAAACATCTTCCCTCAGTTATCCTGATTTCTTCAATTTTTACTCATGTTCAAACAACTGAAATCCTGTTTCTGATGCCCAGGTTCATTGTCATTGCTCTAAGTAGAGACATTACCATGTGTGACGAATTACCATGGGAACGGGACACTCCCTAGCCCTTACATCCTTGCCTCCTACAGTTATCCTCACCTCTGCTCCCCACCTGTCCTGCTTTCAGCGCACTGCCCAAAGTTCTGTCCAAAGCCTGGTCCACTGTTGATTGCCTCTGTCCCCACGGTTCCAGTTACCACATGCACTGCCCACTCCAAACCTGCATCTCTAACCAAGCCCTTGCTACAAAATTTCTAAATCCCACTTTCCAACAACATTTTCAGGCCTGTACATGCTTATCAATCTCTGGACACCCAGCTGAAGTCCCCCATGCACCAAGAATGCCTTGTGCATAGTTTGTCTCCATTTGTATCCACTGTTCCCCGTGAAACTCCAGAGTTCTCTGAAGACAGTGCATCCTAGTTAGCTTGGGTCCTACACAGAGGGCCTGACATAGAAGACCAGGTGGCACTCAAAAAATGTTTAACGAATGGATAACTGAAACTCCAAACAGAGATGAAAGAAAATGGTAGCGATTTAAAAAAAAAAATCTCTTGGGCTTCATTTATTCACTCAACAGATAAACCTTTAACTGACCACATACTTTTCATATATTATCTCTAAATCTCATAGAAACCCAACACATGGGCATGAATACTCCATTTTTCCTGATTGAAAATTTTTAGCTGAGAGGACATACTATCAGCAAATATTGGAACTAGGATTTAACTCAACACAAATTTGACAATACTACCTGTACATTCTGACAAACTGTAAGCTAATAGAAACACTGAAAAAGTAGAAATGAATAAAAGTTCAAAAATGTCACAACAGAGAATCTAGATTTTAAAATATTTAGAAAAAACTATCCCTTGTTTCCCATCTAAGAGCCACTGCGATGGTTTGAATATGATTTGTCCCACAAACTCATGTGGGACTTAAAACCCCAAAGGCAGAAATTAATGATGGGATTGTCTAATCTTGGACTTGAACCTGCAAAACTGTGAGCTAATCTCTTTACAAAGTTGGGTGCCTTGGGCATTCACTAGGTTTATGCAAAGCTGACAAGTACTGACAAGTCCAAGGAAGTCACAAACAGCAACTACTCACATTTCTGTAACTTTATCCATTGTTGTACCTAATGGAACAACATTTGGATATGCATTCACAGGACAAATGTAGCTCAAGAAATCTTTAATCTAGAAGAAAAACAAAATGGATCAATTACCTGGACAGTGAAAAACTGGAGTATTAGAGGACATTAAGGAAGGCCAGGAAAAGAGAAGCAGAAATCTCGTATTGCCTTGATTCTTGATGCCGACCGAATGTGAGGACCACCTGGGAGGCTTCCTAGGCAAAAGAAATACCCAACGACTGGGGGAGGTGTTCAGCATCCCACACCAGAGTACCTATGCTTGATTCCCAGTTCTGACCTAGAGTCTAAACAATGCTGACCCCGGGAGGCAGTAGGCAACAGCTGAAATAACTGGATCCCGTTGCCCATGTGAGCCACCACAGCCCTGACCCAGCCCTGGCCACTATGGGTATTTAGGGAGTGAGCGAGTAGATGAAACCACTCTCTCGCACTTGTACTCTCTATATTTTAAATAAATAAATTTAAGTTTTATAAACACATCCAATGCTAGATCTCAAAAACAAAGATCTTTTCAATATTGAGCTATAGGTGGTCTTGAGAAGCACTACATTTAAATGTTCCTTTGGTGATTGTGTTCTGCAGTAAAAGCTGATAACCACTGAATAATGGTCATCATAGATTCTGTATATAATGTCACATTAATCCAAGAAAATCATCACCCAATACTGCATTTCAAGTGAGAGGCAAGTTGAGTGATAAATACAATACAAAGGGTCTTCAGAAAGTTCATGGGAAATGCATACTATAGAAAAACTATACCTAAGCTAAGCTATTCAAGTTTTTTAAACCAAAATATCTTTTCATTCTATTTTTCCACATGTTTGTTGATAGCACCTTTGTATTCATTTGAAAAGCAGATTTTATGAGAAACAGAGAGAGGGGTCTTCCTCCTACTGGTTCATTCCCCAAATGGCTGCAATGGCCAGCACAGGGCTGAGCTGAGAGCTTCTTCCAGGTCACCATGTGGGTGCAGGAGCCCAAACACTTGATCCATCTTCCACTGCTTTCCCATGCCATAGGAACGGAGCTGGACAGGAAGTGGGGCAGCCAGAACATGAACCACTGATCACATGGAATGCCGGCAGTTTAGGTGGAGGATTAATGTGATATACCACTGCGCCAGCCCCGTGAAGCACCTTTTTATGCATGAGAAAACAAGGTCTCAGAATTACATTGTCTGTCCTCCTGAAAATAATCATTGGTAACAGCAAGGAAATGACATCTTTAAGGTTACTTGATTTGTTCTAATGATCTGTCAATAATAATAATAATAATAATAATAATAATAAATCCTGTTAAGCGAAATACTGTGAACTGTTAGAATCTAGACGAGGACCTCCAATCCTCCCACCCACTGCATCTTGGTTTTGGAGTCACCCACACAGTCAAGTGCTGGATGCAATGCTTTACTTACAGAGACCACACTGAGCAAGCTTGGATGATGCACTGCCAGTGGCCAGCAGTTTGTCTTGGTAGCAACACAAGGTATGCCTCCACAGCTGTGCTTACAAAAAGGACTTTGGCCTTTCCCACTCCCCTGTGCTTTCTGACATACTGAACACTGAAGTGTGCCTAAAAGCCATCAAAGCACAAGCTTAAGTAGAAAAAGATATTCATCAATGCGTACTGACTAAGATTGAACTTATCACTAACACTGTAACTCATGCATGAATAAAGCTTATGTACCCTTTTCTCCATAGGGTACAACATCGCCCTCTTGCACTATCACTAGACAAGGGCAGGCATTTGGGAATCAGACACAGTCACTTAAGAGTGTTTTACCCTACTCTTTTCTAGCCAGAGCTGTTACACCGAAGTGAGCTAACAGACCAGCTCAGAGAAGCGGTTCAGGCACACGCTGTCGGCTCACATCCCCTCTTCCTGTGTACCAAGTACAACGAACTGACCTTCACAGTGTTAGCTGTGCTTGTGTCGGGCAGGCCTTTTAAGTCATCTAGGGATACTTGTTTGATGCCTGTACCCTATATCTGAGGGCCTCAGTCCAAGTATGTGTGTGCATCCTTGAAGGCAGCAAGGGATGGCTCAAGGACGTGGGTCACTGCCATGCACAAGTGAAACCCAGATTGAGTTCTGGACTCCTGGCGTTGGCCTGGCCTGGCTCCAGCTGCTGCAGGCATCCAGAGAGGGAGCCAGCAGAATGAAGTGTGTGCTTCGGTTGTCACTCTATATGCCTTTCAAACCAAAAAACACTAAACAGGACTTCAGCACTGTGCCTGGGCATCATTTTAAACAGTGTAATCATATACAAAAAAGAAAACATCACTCAACAGACGTCAGAGTGACATTTGTTTACAGTGGGAGAGCTGAGACAGAACAAGTACATTATTGCTTTGTTCCACTCAGCTGAGCACACATCATGCCAGGTGACTCAAATTTTCCACAAAACAAAAAAACTGCAAAGTATAGATTTGGAAATTATAGTTTAATTTTACAGAGTAGGAAGCTTAAGCAAATAGGCAAACATGGAAATATTGAATCCACAAATAATCAAGACTGACTCATTTTAGAAACAATGGAAAGAAAATGAGACTTAAATAGAAAAACATATGCCCCGGAAGTCAAACAGAATACCTAGAAGCATGAAGGTGCACAATGATCAGCAATCAGATTGTGCTAACAGGAGATCCTCTTACCTCACTATAGGAGGAGTGAAAAGAAAAACAAGCTCTGTAGGAACTCTCACCCGTCCTGAAGGGAAATAAAAACATTCAAAATTTGCTTAGGAAAACTGAGTTCAAAATGCTGACCCCTTGGGCCCGGTGGCGTGGCTTAACGGCTAAAGTCCTCGCCTTGAACGCACCAGGATCCCATATGGGCGCCGGTTCTATCCCAGCAGCTCCACTTCCCATCCAGCTCCCTGATTGTGGCCTGGGAAAGCAGTCGAGGATGACCCAGAGCTTTGGGACCCTGCACCCGTGTGGGATACCCGGAAGAAGTTCCTGGCTCCTGGCTTCGGATCAGCATAGCATCAGCCATTGCGCTCACTTGGGGAGTGAATCATCGGATGGAAGATCTTCCTCTCTGTCTCTCCTCCTCTCTGTATATCTGATTTTCCAATAAATAAATAAATAAATCTTTTAAAAAAAATTGCTGACCCCTCCCATTTAAGCTAATCCAGAATTAAGTCATCCTATTATCAGGAATTCTTGGAGTGGAAGTAAACATTTCCCGGAAGTGGTAATTTGTCACAGACATTCTGAAGAAAGATCAGGCCTCAGTGTCATGAGCATCATGGTAACAGTCTGCTCTGCAAAGGGCTTCCATTCTGCATAACATTAACTTGCAACTCAGACAGGAGCATTGCAGTCATCTTGTCTATCCAGGAGGTTGGCACTCAGGAGAGACTGGCTAACAATAATTTAGTTTTAAATATTGAAACACCATCAGCTCAGTGTAAACAAGGTTTAAGTCTAACAAATATTGCATGTACACAATATGTACTTCTTGTTGGGCTTAGGTTAGCCTGTATTACACTAAATTAAGTCAATCTGTGCTAAAATAAGGTTTCTCCCAGAAAATCTATGACACTGCTTTCTTACCTTACAATGACATTTGTTTTTCTGGTTCTTTCTCCAAACCACATGGTAGATGGCTTAATGCTGATTGTGTGAATGGGAATTCTATTTCTGGAAGTAATTCCACATGGTAATTTATTCCAATGAAAATAGTCCTCTGCCTACAAAAGACAAATAATAAAATAACTTTACATTTTTAAACAGATATGTCTGCGAGGTCTGAAAAACTAATGTAGGTAATTTTTCAGACATAAAAAAGCAAAAGTAGCCCTGGGTATTTAGCCTAGTGATTAAGATGCTGAATAAAATGCCTGCATCCTGTATCACAATAGCTGAGTCTGAAACCGAGTTGACTCTACCTTCCTACTTATGCAGAGGGTAGGAGGCAGTGGTGACTGAGGTTCAAGTAACAGTATACATACAAATATATCTCAATGAAATCTTAAAATCCCTAATGTTGCTTAAAGATGTGTTACAGAATAACACAAATCCAAAGGCAAATATGAGGAATATCTCAATCACCTAAAAAGAAACCTAAATCAAACAATAAGAAACCCAATTCACAACCTGTCAATGGTAACTCTGAATGTAAATGACTTAAACTTGTCAATTAAAAGATATAGATTAGTGGAATAGATCAAAACACTGGATGTGGGCCCAGTGTGGTAGCCTAATGGCCAAAGTTCTCGCCTTGCACATGCCAGGACTCCATATGAGCATTGGTTCATATCCTGGCTGCTCTACTTCTGATCCAGCTCCCTGTTTGTGGCCTGAAAAAGCAGTAGTGGATGGCCCAAAGCCTTGGGACTCTGCACCAGTGTGGGAAACCTGGAAAAAGCTCTTGGCTCCAGGCTTTGGAGGAGATCAGTTCTGGCCATTGCAGCCACCTGGGGAGTGAAGCAGTGGATGGAAGGTCTTTCTTCATGTGTCTCCATCTCTGTAAAGCTGACTTTCCAATAAAAACAGAAAAAAAAATATTTAAAAATGGATCCATCTATCTTGTACAGGAGACACATCTCACCAACAAAGATATGCCAAGACTGAAAGTGAAAGGATAGAAAAGGATACTTCAGGCCAACAGAAAAAATGAGCTGGTGTACTCATTCTAATATTAGATAATATAGACTTCAACATAAAAAGAGTTAGAGGAGATGGAGAAGGACATCAAATAATGATCAATTGATCCATTCAGTAAGATAAAATCACCTATACACACCAAATGCCAGGACACCTAGTCTTGTGAAATAAATATTAATGGATTTAAGGGGAAAAACATATTCCAATACAATGATAGTGGGGAAATCTAACACCCCACTAATCTCAACGGATATGCTGATGAGACAGAAACTCAGCAAGGACACAACAGAGCTCATCCAGACAATAGAGTAAATGTGCTTAATTGATATCTACAGAACCTTTCATCCTACAAACACAGGATACACTATTTTTTCATCAATATCTAGAACCTTCTCCCGGACTGATCAGATTATAGGCCACAAACAAGCCTTGGCTAATTTTTTAAATCAAAATCATACCACACATCTTCTCAGACGATCATGCAGTGAAACTGGACACCAACAAGTCAAAATATCCCAGAAGATGTGCAAATATTTGGAAATTGAACACATGTTGCTAAATGAACAATGGATCATAGAAGAAATCAAAGAGGAAATTTAAAAATTGTTTGAAATGAATGAAAACATCAACACAGCATATCAAAACTTGTAGGACACAATCAAGGCAGTGCTAAGAAGAAAAATCATTGCAGTAAGTGTCTATGTCAGAAAACTAGAAAGGCAGCAGGTTAATGAGCTAGCCGTACATCTGAAGGAGCTAGAAGAAAAACACACACAGAAAAATAATCCCAAAAACTAGCAGAAAAAAAGAAATGATCAAAATAAGGGAGGAAATAAACCAAATAGGGATCAAAAGATCAATACATAAGATCAATGATTCAAAGAGCTGGTTCTTTGAGAAAATCAACAAAATAGATAGCCAACTAGCCCAACTAAACAAAAAAGGAGGGGGAAGATATACATCAATAAATTACCAAAAAAAAAAAAAAGAAATATAATAACTATCTCAGACATACATAGAATAATCAAGAACTATTACAAGTAAGTATATACCAACAAAATAGAAGAAATGGATGGATTTCTGGACACACACAATTTACCAAAACTGAATCATAGGTAATTAAAAATCTAAAGAGCCCTATAATGAGGATGGAGATTTAATCAGCAATTAAATCTCCCCTAACAAAGAAAAGTTCAGGATTGGATGCCTTACTGTTGAATGCTACTAAACATTTCAAGAAGAACTTACTTCAATCCTCCACAAGTTATTTAAAACAACGGAAAGGGAGGCAGTCCTTCCAAACTCTTCTATAAAGTCAACATCACCTTAACACCAAAGAGAACTACAGACTGATAACCTTGATAAACAAAAATGCAAAAATCCTCAACAAAATACAAGCCAACAGAATCCAACAATACATCAGACAGATTATTCACATGGACCAGATGGGATTTATCTCCGGTATGCAGGGATGATTTAATGTAGGCAAATCAATAAATATTATACACCACATTAACAAAATGAATAAAAATCATATCATCTCGATTGATGCAGAGAAGATATTTAATAAAATCCAATACCACTTTATGCTAAAAACCCTAAGCAAGATAAGAAGAGTAGGAACATTCTGCAACACAGTCAAAGCAACCTATGAGAAAACCATATCACGGAAAATAAAAATCCCAAGGTAAACACAACTTGATTATATAAGCAACCATGTCTCCAACCTTGGAAAATAAAGGCTATCGGGGCCAGGACTGTGGTACAGCAAGTTAAGCTGCCTCCCACAGTGCTGGTATTCTATGAGAGTATCAGGCTGAACCATCATAGCTTTTCTTCTGATCCATTTCCATACAAATGTGACTGGCAAAAGAGAAGATGGCCCAAGTACTCCACATGGGGGACCCACATAAAGCTCTTGGCTCTGTACTTTGGCCTGGCCCCATCCTGGCTACTGCACTCACGTGAGACGTGAAATAGCCCTCTGTCTCTCCTCCTCTCTAACTCTGCCTTGCAGATAACTACAGAAATATTTAAAAAACAAAAACAAAAAACACACAGAAGAAAGGTCATGGATGTTTGCTAAAATACATTCATATGTATATACATATATATTTCTTTGATGACTGCTAAGCTATGTGTTTATGCATTTATTTCATCCTTTTGTGTACATTCATATACATGCATAAACACACATACCGACAGTCCTTGACCTATGATCTTTCAACTTAATGACAGTGTAAACATGATATGTATTCAGTAGAGGTAATACCTTGAATTTTTATTTTTTTCCCCTGGGCTAGCAAGCTAGCAATATGTAACACAGTTCTTTCATGATACTGTGTGGTGGGGAACAAGCCACAGTTCAACTGTGATTTATTTTCCAAAGTTATCAAAGACAATTGCAACATTCATTTGAAACTGGACCATCAATACCTGTAACTATTCCAAAGTTTAAAGGCAAGTTATATCTATCTTAAATGAGAAGAAAAGTATATCAATATGCAAATATTGTAAGTTTCAAAAGTAAGTAGCACCAGATTGTACATTTCCTTAAATTATAAGCTACAATTTTATACTCAAATGTGTATGAACAGATTTCATTAAACTATAAGGATCCATATCTATTTACTTATTTGAGAGATAGACAGCAAAAGACAGAGAATCTTCTGCACTCTGGTTCACTCCCTAAAAGGCCACAACACGTAAGACTGGGCCAGATGAAGCCAAGAGCCTCAGATTCCATCCAGGTCTCCCAAGGGGTGGCAAGAACCCAAGTATGTGAGCCATCTTGTGTTGCTTTCTTAGATATGTTAATAGGGAGCTGGATCAGAAAAAGGGAAGCCAGGATTGGAACAGGTACTCTCCTGTGGGATGCCAGTGTGGCAAGCAGTGGCCTAACCTACCATAGCACAATGCCACCCCCCAGTTTTTACTTTACCAAGGTGAGGAGCCTCCAAGTGGAAGGTCTGAAGTTCCTTCTCATTGTCAAACTGTGCTATTTCAGAATAATCATTGAAACGTGGTACCTTTGGATGCCGACACGCATGGATCTGGGTGTTGCGGTCTGTCGTGAGATGGTGAAGAATGTCCGGCATGTTTCTAAACATATCCAGCTTATCCACGTGAATCTAGGAAAGCAGCAGAAGCATTGTCTATCCTACAAATAAACTGTTCAAGGGTAATTATTCAGACAAAACATACTTTCCCTTCTTTTTGCAACCTCGGTTTTGGAGACTCCCATGCACATACGTATTTTGCCAGGATGTTAGTGGGCAAGGGGTTAAACAGATGGGGTTACTGTCTATTGCTAATGGTACTAAACTATACTCAGCTGATATGTCCTTCAGGAGTCATTCAGTGACCCAGTTTCCTAGTGTATGCCCATGGTGTGTCAGTTTTTAACTCTAAATATTGGGCATTTATCAGTGAACAAAAAAGAAAAAATAACCAAGAATTGCCTCTCCTTAATACACATGGCATGTCACAGAAGATCAGACAGAGGGAAAGAGAGCTGGCCAGGAAGCAGGAGACAAGATCACTCCCCTACCACGTGCCATTTCATTGGGCATGGAGGCCAGATGCAGAAAACCCAACAATTAAATCTTGGTCACCCTCTGAATTTTAAAGGTAATGATTTTAAAGCATTAAAACCAATGTATCACTTATTTAAAGCTTATCTTAAAGGTACTTCAAATTAAATGAAAAGAACTAAATAACAGGATTATAGAATGGTAAATGAAGGATTTTTGAAATTTCAAATGCACATGTCTCATCTGATGCCTGAATAACAGATTAGAAAAAAAATCAAACTGCTGTGTGATTGATATCATATACAAAAATATCACAAACATAATTGTTTTACATTTTATTTACTACCTATTTACTAATGACCAATAAGAAGTAGCAGTGATTTGGTTTTCTGGGTTCTCAAAAGAGGAAAACAGGGGAAGGGTAACTTCTGTGATGTATAAGGAGAGCTACATAAAGTGTCACCCTGAAATCAGGGTGTGGCATAGCAGTTAAGCTGCCCCCTGCAATGCTGGCCTCATATGAGTCCCACTTGCTCCCTGCTGATGCACCCTGGAAGGCAGTAGAAAATGGTCCAAATGTCTGGATCCCTACACCCTCGTGGGAAAGCCAGATAGGATTCCTGGCTCCCGGCTTTGGCCTAACCCAGCTCTGACTATTGTGGCCATTTGGGAAGTAAGCTGGTGGACAGAAGCCCTGTGTGTCCCCGTACTTTTCTCTGTCTTTGTTAACTCTGGCTTTAAAATAAAAATAATGTATTTATTTTTATTGAAAAGGCATAACAGAGAAGGCGATACAGAGAGAAAGATCTTCCCTCACCTGGTTCACTCCTCAAAAGGCCAAAAAAATTATAGAAATGACATCTGCAGTGCCCAGCTGAAGCAAAGAAAGCCAGGGTCCTAACTGTGGCAGCAAACTCCCTCAGGCTGTTTTTTTAAGACTTTTATTTTATTGGAAAGTTAGATATACAGAGAAGAGGAAGGAGAGAAAGATCTTCTGTCCACTGATTCACTCCCCAGGTGGCTGCAATGGCTGAAGTTGAGCTGATCCAAAGCCAGGAGCTTCTTCTGGGTCCTCCACATGGGTACAGGATCCCAAGGCTTTGGGCCATCCTCTACTGCTTTCTCAGGCCACAAATAGGGAGCTGGATGGGAAGTAGAACAGCTGAGACATGAACCAGCATCCATATGGGATCCCGGCACATACAAGGTGAGGACTTTAGCCACTAGGCCACCATGCCAGGCCCCATAAACAAACAAACCAAAAAAAAAAAAAACCTTACAAAATGTATAAGTCTCATCCTCATATAAAGGAAGATATCAGAAAAAATATTCAGAGATCATTGCTGAAGTCCCCTTCTCAAAAATGTCACCATTGAAGGGACCATAGTTCACAACAACGTATCACATACTGAATGAAGAACTGGACAAGAGTTGGTAAGCTCCAAACACAGAGCAGATAAGGAAAGAGGGGCTGGTTGCATGGTTTAATTAGTTGACATTGTTTAAATGTGTTGCAATATTGTTCTGTACTCTACAAAACTGTACAAACATCCCATGTCAACCAAAACAACTTACAAGATTTCCTATAACCCATTGTTCTTCCATTTTCGCTGCTGTGCAAAGGGACACAAATGAACTTAACAAGCTCCCAACTTCGGACCAGTCCGGCCAATGAATGAGCTGGAGGAGCAAGTGAAAACCCCATTCCAGTCTGATACTGATTACTGTGGCTCTAGATCCAAGACTGGCTCCAGGACAAGTTCTTCACAACCGGAGCTGAGCCAATCCGAAGCCAAGAGCCAAGAGCCAAGAGCTTCCTCCAGGTCTCCCATGCAGATGCAGGGTCCCAATGCTTTGGGCCGTCCTTGACTGCTTTCCCAGGCCACAGGCATGAAGCTGGACGGGAAGTGGAGCAGCCAGGATTAGAACTGGAGCCCACATGGGTGTGTACAAGGCAAGGACTTCAGCCACTAGGCTGCTACTCCATGGAATACTACTCAGCTATTAAAAAAAACAAAATGCAGTTCTTTGTGGCTAAATGGGCCCAACTGGAAACTATAATGCTAAGGGAAATGAGCGAATCCCAAAAGGTTAGATACCACATGTTTGCCTTGATTTAACCTGTAATTTTTGTTTGGTTGTTTGTTACTTTTTGAACCGGTCATTGATACTGTCTCAACCCAGGTGTTTTGAAGAATTGAACTTGCATTATTTCTAACATATTGTCTACTCAATACTATGTCAATTAATTCCATAACATTGTATATTGATGCTGATGTTTTGTTGGGGCTTTTAACTGACCGGAACTTTACTCTGTTAGCTCTACCTTCAGACCAGAGAAGGTCTCCCCAAGAAGCCATTGAACTTATCTGGACAATAAGATGCTGGACTTTATGCTAGGTATATGCTTGCAATGAAGGAATCTCAACTGAACTTGAACTGTGGTTATGCAGCAAGGTGGAGGAATCCACTATGGGGGGAGGGTTGTGGGAGGGGTCGGGGAAATCCCAGTGCCTATAAAACTGTTTCACATAATACAATGTTAATAACAATAAAAAAAAAAGAAAATTGAAAAAAAAAAGAGAAAGTGTATGGAAAATGGAATTTAAAACTTTTTGTACCAAAAAAAAAAAAAAATCTTGAAACCCAGGCATAGCTTTTTCATAATATGCATTTTCTATGAAATTTTTGATGATGTCTTAAATGTGTCTGATTCCCAAGGCAGATTTTTTTTTTCAAAATGATTAATACTCTGACTGCAAGCAATATATTCAGGTACCTCCTTGAATGAATTTACTTTTGGTGCTCATCAGAATCACTAAATTTATCTAAGGACTCGTAATTTAGGAACTAACACTCTGGTTATTTCCCTGAAGACAACTAAACAAAAACAAGGTACTATCTCAGAGGGGCAGCCAAACTGTCACAGCCCTGTTTTGACAACTCCTTCCCATCTGTTACTGTTCACAGTTACTTGCTGGTGGGTGAGGGACAGGAAGATGAAGTCAGGAGGGCATAAAAAATGTGTGAAACAGAAAGAACAATCACTGTACCTGGACTCCCAATTCTTCACTAAGGTTAGTGAACAAATATTCGTAGCCGTAGGCTGCTTTGCAGTTCAGCCACACAACGTGGTATGGACTCCGAGTGATCCAACTGCGAACCAGCTCTAAAATTCCATTTAAACATTCCTCCTAGAGGGCATTTTTAAAAGATCTTAGTTAATGCTTTAAAGAGGCCCACTCTTTGCCTTCCCAACATTCATGAGCATCCACACCAAGGGGAGCAACCATGATCTGATGTGTCATCCTACAAACTTCCAGAAAGAAACAGGTTCATACTCAGCTTATCACTCTCTGACTCCAGGCGGACTTACCCGACTTGGAATTTGATAAAATCTTGGATCACAGAAAGTAGTATCTAGGTACACAGTTTGGATGTCTTTTACTCTGAAACAGAAATTTAGTGTAACCCACCTAATATGACATGCATTACTTATAAAATTTAAATTTAAATTTAAATGCAGGGTATTCCATTCTATTTGAAATTAGTTAAATCTACTTCGCTGAAAAATCATTTCAGTATAATTAGATACAAATTTTGTTTCAACAATTATTGAATTTGACAAAATTATGTATCCCAATCACTGCTATGCTAATCAACATACACAACATGTTACATATCTCTTTTAAGGAGAAAAATTTACTCTACTCTTACAAATGATAGAGACAAATTAAATTTCTAATAGAAACAAAGGCTTGAGTTTAGCAGGATAAAAAGCAATTAAAAGAAAAGTTATTATTATTATTTTTCTTTCTTAAGAGGTAGAGACAAACAGCTCTCATCTGCTGCTGGCTCACTCCCCCAATGTCACAGTGACCAAGCCAGGCTGGACACTCAGTCCAGGTCTACCACATGGTTGGCAGGAACCTAATTAATTGTGTGCATGACCTCTGCCTTCTAGGACACACATTAACAGGAAGCTGAGGTCAGGAAACAGAACTGGGAATAAAACCCAGGTACTCCAATGTGGAATGTAGGCATGATAACCAGTACCTTAAACAAGTTAGAAATACTCCTAACACCAAAACTTTTAAAACAATGCATTAACTGTGTAAGGTCCAGTACCTGCCCCCAGAGTGCAGAAGTTCCATTCTGGCAGCTTCTCCTTTTGCCAATCTGAAGTCTCCTGTGTACAAGACAGTTCCATTATTGCCCTGAAATAAAAACCTGAAAAAAAAAAAAAAAGATTTCAATGACTTCCAAGTCTCAAAAGGCTGTATTTAGCAAATACAGGCTAAATCCAAGGCAAATGCTTCTAGCTAAAGGTCTACTTTAAAGACATACTGTCAATGGAATTTCAACAGCTCTAAATGTATACCCAACAATTGTTACCTCTTCCAGGCTAGAAAAACAGAGCAGAGATTCTGTGAATTTGTAATGCATGACTCCTGTACTGTTAGCACTGTTAATTATATTTTGAGATAATTTCTGTTTAGGAAGTAAAAAGTGACCAGAAACTGAAGTCATTGGAAAAGCAGTTATTGATGTCTTCTATTATAAGAAAAATCACACTTAGGATTCAATCTTCACTTTAGACCCCCAAGTCAATTAAGAAACAGAGAAAATGTCAAATAATGAAATCTCCCTATATGAATTATGTTTTAGTTCTTAATAATTTATATCCATAACCATATACATAGCTACATATAATAAAATGACAAAACAGACGAGCCCCTTACATAACTGATCCAGGGCAGTGAGCAGCTGGTAAGAGAGTCACAACAATCTCTTCCTTCTAAAAAGACAATAAAGAAAAAACCGAAACAGAAATTATCATTAGCATTAGCTACATAAAGACATCCTTAACAGAACAGACTCAACTACCTTTCAGGAATATGCCTTTTCCTCCCAATTTCCCCACTCCCCAAATCCTGGAAACAAGTGAAATCCTTGTCCACTCAACAAGTAAACACTCAGCAATTCTGCCTCTAGTTATGCACCAAAAGAACTGAAAACTTAAGCCCACATTAAAACTCACACATGAAGATTTCAAAGAGGTGATAATCCTGCTTCACATTAAATATCAACTAGATTTGCCATTAAGCAGGGGGAAAGAAAGAAGATTCATAGTCCTACTTATTATTAAGACATTCACAAAAATACCACTTTTACTAAAGTTAAGGATAAAAACTACATTTTATCAACCAAAATGGGATTTTCTGTGAATAAGAGAATGATATGGAAAAATAATTACAACATTCAGAAATTTAGTGCAAAAATATTACAGACTGTTTTATATCTCAAACATCATAATAAACTTAATAGCAATAACATCATATAGGAATGGTTAAGATCTGGAGTTCCCACCACCAGCAAATAATCCTGAAAAGAATTTGGACAAAAACCAAGCCTTTCAAAGAAAGACACCAATACATCTCTGATATGGATTGCATGGATGCTTGTCACTCAGAATCCATGGTTCCACCTTAGCTCCCAAGGAGATTTTATTAGGCTTTGGTTGTTGATCAGCTCTTAAAGGTGGAGCTCTCATGAATGGGACAAGGTTTGAAAGAGCTTGGTTGCCCTTTCAAGTCCTGTGAAGACACAGGGAAAGATGGTCTACAGATCCTCCTGCGGCACGAATGCTCTAGTGCCTTGATCTGGCTCAAAGCCTGGCTCATAGCCTCTAGAACTGCATGGCATCTGGATAAGACACCATCTGTTGTATTTTTGTGATAGAAGTCCAAGTGGACTAAGATATGTTAGTCTGCAAAGATCTTGGTTAGTTTTGCTAAAAACTCGCATAATAGTTAAAGGAGTATTCATAATCAAAGAGCAGGTGAACACTTGATACAGTAAGATGACACTCTGGACATTTGCATCCCATATCAGAGGGCCTAGATCCACATCTCAGCTCCACTCCTGATTCCAGTTTCCAGTTAATGGGAACCCTTAGGTAGGAGGTGATGGCTCAGATAGTTGGCTTCCCGTAACACACGTGGGAGACCCAGATTAAGTTCTTAGTTCCTGGCTTCAGCCTGGCTCAGCCTTAGCTGTTGGACAAGAGTAGATGGAAGCTGTCCATCTGTATTTCTTCCTCTTTCACATTCTTCTCTCTTTCGTTTCAAGTAAAACATGAAAATGACAAAAATTCTGGGGAAAAGAAACGAAATAATCATGTCAGCACTAAATTTTTAAAAACATCAATGTTTAATAGTTACCTCGCCTGATGCTTCATCAACTAATGATATTTGCGTAGGAGTTTCAACTTCAATTGATATCTATTAAAACAAGAAATCACATACATATCAGTTTTTCATTGTTTTATACACCTTTATCATCACCAACAGTCTTTCTCTTAAATATTTTGGCACTTCTGGAACAAACACCTTATTAGTGATGTGTATGTAATACTGTCAGTTTCTTAGGATTTCCACATGTTCACGTAAGAAATATCTCTTCTTCCATTTTGGCTATGATTATCTATTTTGTGGCAAGTTTGAGTAGCTTTTTATTGTTTTACACAATTAATTAGGTGGAGGATATTTTTCTTTTTACTGTTATTTATTTAAGAGACACATGGTCCACAATGGCTAGGGCTCAGCCCAGTAGGAGATGAGTGTCAGCCAGGAACTCAATCCAGGCCTCCATACTGCTGATAGGGATCCCATCACTTTGAGCCATCACATCACCAGCTACCACTGGAGCTCAAACCCCAGCACTCTTACAATGGGATGCAGGTATCCCAATGAGCAGCTTAACTGCTACACCAAACACCGACCAGATGTTATTTGTCTCTTGAATATTTGATGAAATACACCTACAAAAAACCTGTGCTTGCAGTTTTCTTTGGAGACTGAAAATTTGAAAAATTTCTGGGGCCAGTGCAGTGTCCTAACAGGCTAATGCTCAGCCCACGGTACTGGCAATCCCACATGGACACTAGTTAGAATATCAGCTGCAGCACTTCTGATTCAGCTTCCTGCTTATGGACCAAGAAAGCAGCAGAAGATGGCTCAAGTCCCTCGGCCATCTTGTGTGAGATGAGGAGGGGGCTCCTGGCTTCAGATCAGCTGACTTCTGGATGCTGCAGCTGTTTGGGGAGTGAATCGGTGGTTGGAAGGTCTTTCTCTTGCTCTCTGTCTCTCCTTCTACTGTGAGCCTGCCTTTCAAATAAGAACAAATCTTTTTTAAAAAATTTGATGTGGGCTGATACTGTGGCACAGTGTATTAAGATATCACAAGCAATTCTAGCATCCCATAAGAGCTCCCTACTAATGACCACTGACACCCATGTAGAAGACTCAGACGGAATTCCAGACTCCAGTGTTGTCTCAGCCATGACAACCATTTGAGCAACGAAATAGTGGATGGAAAAATCTTTGTCTCTCCCTGGCTCTGTGTAATGCTGCCTTTCAAAAAGCAAATCTTAACAAATTCTTTGGGGCCCAGCGTGACAGTTCAATGGCTATAATCTTGCCTTGCCAGAGCCAGGATTCCATATTGTTGTCAGTTTAGGCACTGGCTGTTCCACTTCCCATCAAGCACCCTGCTTATGGCCTCAGAAAGCAGTCGAGGATGGCCCAAAACCTTGGGACCCTGCACCCACGTGAAAGACCCAGAGGAAGTTTCTGGTGTCTAGCTTCGGATCAGCTGAGCTCTGATCATTGCGGTCACTTGGGGAGTGAACCAGTGGATGGAACATCCTTCTCTCTTTCTCCTTCTCTCTATAAATCTGACTTTCCAATAAAAATAAATCTTGACAAAAAAATCTTTGTGATATATTCAAATTTTCTTCTAGCTCAACTTTGTGTTTTTCTATTTTTCTATGTATATAACTGCTTTGTCTGAATTCTATAGCAGCCTATTCTTAGAAATTACTGATATTGTTTTATATTCTGTTTCATCTATTTTATACGCATTTAAAAAAATCATTCTTGGCAGAAATTCCTCTCTATGCCTTTCTATGACTAGCTTTTAGTCTTTCCCTTCTGTTGTAGTTAATCTCTACATCAAACTTCTTTCTTTCACACTTGCTAAGGTTTTATCTATTGCTCCTTTTCCATTTTCCTAAAGACTTGTTTATTTTTAGGTTTTGTTAGAAATCTATTCAATGGTATCAATTTCCCTGCTAGCATTAATTGAGCTGTGTTCCAGATATTTTGATAGATCAAGTCTCCGTTGTTCAACAGGTCAAAGTACTATATGTGTTGTCTTTATAATTTCCTGTTTTACTTGAAGACTTTCTTTTATGCATTTAACTTTCATGTGTTTGGGATGATCTTATCTTCCTTTTATTTCTGATCCCCAATATCATTACACTACCATCTGAGAACACAGCACCAAATTTTTTAAGATGTCTGGGCACAGCACAATGGCTCGGTGGCTAAATCCTCGCCTTGCAAACACTGGGATCCCTTATGGCCACAGTTTGTGTCTCAGCTGTTTCACTTCCTATCCAGCTCCCTGCTTGTGGCCTGGGAAAGCAGTGGCAGATGACCCAGAGCCTTGGGACCCTGCACTCACATGGAAGACCCAGAAGAAGCTCCGGCATCCTGGCTTCAGATTGATTCAGCTCCAGCCATTGTGGCCATTTGAGAAGTGACCCGGTGGATTGGAAGATCTTTCTCTATCTCCTCTTCTCTGTAAATCTGCCTTTCTAATAAAAATAAATAAATCTTTTATAAAAAAAAAAGATTAAAACTTTGTCCACTGACACAGCACATGGTCAATTTCTGCAAATGTTTCATGGATATTCCCAAATATTTTCTTTCTTGGGTTTACAGCTCTGCTTTTTAATTAATAGCTCATATTTATTATATCATTCAATTTACTACATTTAATTTCCACTGCCTAGTACTATATTGACTTATCTAAGAAGCAGCTAATTCCTTGAAGTTCCTTAGGGTTAGGGTTGATCACAAGAAAAAGCTAGAAGGCAGAAGTGCACAAGTAGCCACTTTAAAATGTACTGAAGGGCACTGGGATTACAACAGTTCATGTGCACTGCTGACCTTCTGGCTGTACTCACTTAGGGTTTTTTCTTTTTCTTTTTCTTAAGATTTATTTGTTTTTATTGGAAAGGCAGATATGCAGAGGGAAGGAGAGACAGAAAGATCTTCCATCCACTGGCTCACTCCCCAAGTGGCTGCAATGGCTGGAGCTGAGCTGATCCAAAGCCAAGAGTCAGGAACTTCTTCCAGGTCTCCCATGTGAGTACAGGGTCCCAAGGCTTTGGGCTATCCTCAACTGCTTTCCCAGGCCACAAGCAGGGAGCTGGAAAGGATGTGGAGCAGCCAGGACATGAGGTGGTGCCCATATGGGATCTCAGCACATGCAAGTTAAGGATTTTAGCCACTAGGCTACTACACCAGGCCCATGAGCTCACTGAGCTGGACCAGGCAGCACTGCAGCAACTCCAGAATCTTCTGGGTATCTACCTGCAACTTCATAAAGTCCTGGGTCAGCAGGAGATGAGTCAATGCTATGGGAGTGACCAGCATTCCCCATGTTGGAAATGACAGAATCACTTAAGGATTAAATCGTTGTGGATTAAACCTTGACTCCACTTATCCACTTCCCTTCCTGCTTTCCTTCCTGACTTTGGCCAATTCACTTGCAGCAGCTTCAAGCCTGGGTTACAGACAATATTCTGTGATCCCTGGAGGAGGGGGGATGAACCCTTCCTCCTCACCAAAAGGTGAGATATTGAGATGAATCAGATCTCTCTCACACACACACATACACACACTCTCTCTCACACACACACATGCACACACACACACACACACACACTCAAAGGAGAAAAATGTATTCCACCCATCACAAGACTTTCAGATAAACACACAGCACCCAAGCTGCAACTGAAGGGGCTCATGTGGTTTTCATGCTGATGAAGGGACAGGTCTAGCTTGCCTAGTTTGAATTTCACACCAATACACAGGCAAAGATAAAAATATAAAATACAGGATGCAGAGACAATACAAATGATCAGGTATCCCAAATGTAGGGCACAGGGAAAGGAGGAGGCAGGACTTGAAAGCTGCCAGCAACATCACTCTTCTCAACACTCCTGCAGACTTCTCCATCAGCTCCCTGAGTGTGTGAATCCTGCTCCAAACAAGCCCCGATTCCACTCATTTGCTATGGCTCTCCTTCCTCGATCCAGGCCTGGGGTGACAGAGGGAAGTACTAGCTTTGTCCAGTTGAAGGCTATTTAATCAATCACATATACATTTGTATCTTCTTGACCCCATTGTTCTTTATTAACGGCAAATAATATCCTCTTAGAAATATAAGTTTTTATGGCTCTTTTACACTGTTAATTTGATTTCGTTGGATATAAAAATTGAAATTTTACCATTTTGGGTTTCTAATTATCTAGTATATCTCTCTTTTCTTCCTTCAGCTCAAACTGAACATATCCTCATATCCTCCCATGGCTCCGTCTACCCCCACTCCCCATGTCTCTAATAGACTAACACTGGCAAATTTTCCTTACTTTTTTTGACTATAACTAGAAATGTGTGTTTTGATAAAGAATTGAATTAAGCACATTCATATTTATTGCAACTACTGTTATAAGCGGAATTTTTTCTTCCATCTTTTTTTTTTTTATGTATAGATACACACTTTTCTCCCTTTCCTATTTTACATGGGATAAATCCGTTGTACTTTGCAAGGCCAAAAGCTATCCATTATATTTTTATTATTTTGATCATACATTTCCTCTAATCTATCCCATAAGTTACATAAAAGAACTTATGTTAATGAATATTTTACACTGTAAAACATTAAAATACTTCTTAGCTAGCAAGTCAGTAAGATTAAATAAACAAATTTGAAGACATAGATCAAACTTTACAGAAAGATAAAGAAGTTAACAGCAAAATGTTCTTACGCTGCTGAACTATAAAGAACAAATAAATATCAATATTCTAATTAACATGGATATTATAATGAAGAGGAACTGGGTTTGGGACATTCCAGTACTCTTTTCAATCTACTTCTAAAAATATTTTACCTTTAAAAATAATTAGCATTATTCAAGACATAAAACTTACAATTCGTTTCTCCCAAAATCTGTATTTTGGGCTAGTTAACAACAATTCCTTGGTAACAGGCGAGCAGTACAGATAAACCTTCAAGCTGAAAGGAAAAATACGAAAAATTCAAACAATAGAAATAAACAGAAAATTGTTTCAGTATATTTCAAAATGAACTATCTTGGGGACTAGAAAATACACTATCACACATCAGTTTTCTATGATTCAGTAATTGTACTGGCACATGAATGTCAAAATAGTTGCCAATACACATATACTCCATGGACTATTTGATATTGCAGTCCCAACAAGAGCATACGGGAATCAAAGAGGCAGATGGAACAAAATACTGTTTAAAATACATAATCAGGTAAATGTGGAAACACACCATCATATGTTCAGTCACCACTAGAGATAGAACAACGGGTGCCCAGAACCAAGACTTTTGCTTTTTATTGCATATATATCTACTAGGTTTAAGAAAACAAATTGATTTAATAATAAACTTTAAAATTCCAGGAGTACATGAGGTTGGCACTGGTTTGAGATCTGGTTAGTCCACTTCCAATCCAGCACCCTGCTTACGGCCTGAGAAAGCAGTGGAGGATAGCAAGAAGTCCTTGGGCCTCTACTCCCATGTGGGAGATGGGGAAGAAGCTCCTGGCTCCTGGGTTCAGACCAACTCAGCTCTGGTTGTTGTGGCCATTTGAGGAGTATACTTTGTGATGGAGGATCTCTGTCTCTCCTTCTCTCTGTAATTCTTTCAAAAAAACAATTTTTGTAAAATAAGTAATACAGCTTAGACTTTAGAATACAGTCCACAGTAAACTGTATTTTCTAAAGATGGCACACTCACTACCTGAACCCATCCAGACACTCTCTTTCCACATAACAGATATCAAAATACCTTCACTGACAGGAACAGTCTATACTCCCTCCCACTGGACCTGGGCAGATCTTGGGAACTGCCATACCCCCAGAACACTGTGGGAGGAATTGCACCATTTTCTAAGCTACAGTCCAGCAATCTGGCTTCCTCCAAATTCTCTCTTGGGATACATGAGGGGCTTCAAAAAGTTCATGGAAAATGCCTATTAAGAAAAAACAAGGCACAAGTTTCAAAAATGTACAAAAACAATTTCATTTTTTAATTTCATTTTTTTCATAGACTTTTTGGAGTTCCCTCATTCTTTTTAACCTGAGGTTTCCATTTATGAATTTCAGTTCTGAAACCATCAAGTTAAGAACTTTTCCAGGATGGAAAGGGGTGCCTAAGGAAGCCCAGCTGTTGTAGCTTCTGACCATTTGAATCTACCCAATTCAGGTGGCACACAGTGATGGGAGTCTGTGGATAATTCCAGCCCCACATGACTCCCAAGCAGACAGAAGCCGCCGATCACCATCATATTCTGTCAGAATTCCAGCTCCGCAGACACAGAGCCAACACAGGACTAGGGCTGCTTTATGCAACTCAATTTCGAAGCAATTCATTCGCAGCAGCAAACCGATGCACAGGGTCTAAAGTCAAGACAGACCTAGTTGAAATCCTGGTCCTGCCACTTACTGGCTGCATGACACTGGGCACCTAACTTAACCTTCTGGTTCTTCATTGTCCTCATCTATAAAATATAATCACAGTATTGATTCCAAAGGCTATCAAGAGGCCCTGAGGAGAATGTCAGCTCCACAAGGGCAGGGTTTTCACATTGTGCTCCTCACATATTCTCAGGCTCCAGGCCAATGTCCTACTCAATGCAGGCCCTCAGAACATGCTGCTGAAATAAGAAATACAGAGTGTCCAGAATATAGTTAAGTAGTCGATAGATATTAGTCATCATTGTGAAGGACACAGTCTACAGCAACTGATTAGCAGATACTGACACCTGTTGACTCAAAGGTCAAAACGTCCTCTCAAATACATTTCCTGGGAGCTACGCGCAGCAGGTTATGCCACCGTCTGCATCACTGCCATCCTTTACAAACACCACTTCCAGTCTCAGCTGCTTCATTTCTGATCCAGCTTTCTGTTAATGGGCCTGAGAAAGCAGTGGAGGATGGCCCAGGTTTGTGGACCCCTGTCACCTACTCAGGAGACCAGATGGAGTTCCATGCTCCTCACTTCTGCCTGGCTCAGCTCAGGCTGCTGTGGCCACTTGGGGAGTGAATCAGCAGACAGAAGATCACTCTGTCTCTGCAACTGCCTTTCAAAAAAATGAAATAAATATTTAAAAAATATACATGCATATTTGCAAAGCACATATATATATATATATATATGAGTTTATTGTATCGTTTATCAGACTACATTCTTTTTCTTTTAAAGATTTGTTTTTACTTTTACTGGAAAAATCAGATATACAGAGAGGAGGAGGAGAGACAGAGAGGAAGATACTCTGTCTGTCCGATGATTCTCCCCCCAGGTGCCCACAATGGCCAGAGCTGAGCCAATCCGAAGCCAGGAACCAGGAGCTTATTCCAAGTCTCCCACACCAGTGCAGGGTCCTAAGGCTTTGGGTTGTCCTCGACTGCTTTCTCAGCCCACAAGCAGGGAGCTGGATGGGAAGCGGAGTGCTGGGACACAAACTGGCACCCATATGGGATCCCGCTGCGTGCAAGGCAAGGACTTCAGTCACTAGGCTACCATGTTAGGCCCAAAGACTATATGTCAGGAGCCGTGTACTATAGCCACACGGAAGCCATTTTGAATATAGAACTATGGGCCAGTGGAAAACCCTCGGCTGGCTAGATGCTTGGGAAAGAAGTTATGAAACTAATCACACGCTTAGCGTCAATTGTTTCTAGCAACTGTTTTAGAATGTGATTTATGCTGTACCTGCTGACATCTTGTTACTGATTATCTATGCTATTGTTGATATGTTGGTTACAATGGTTGATATGGTGGCTGCTTAAGAACAATTGGTCTGGAGACCATGGCTTGCATCCTAGTTTCTCCTTTCCTCCCTGAGCCTTAGTTACTGAAGAGTATAAAAACCCTCAATTAAAATCAATAAACTGACAGCTTGATCAGACATCCTGTCTTGCTGTCCATTCTTCGTGTCTCTTGTCCCCCAATCTCTCCTAGGTGGTTGCGACCCCCGTTGACTGTCCTGCTGGACAGGATAACTACACTCATGATGGATGTATTTTTCTGCATAAATACTATCTCTCAATTAAAAATTTTACTTTAAAAAAAAAAAACAAAAAGTAGTAAAATAAACTACCTGCATTCCAATCTTCTTTTCAGTGTTGGGGCTCTTAACCCTTTCATATGATCTAAAACAAAAGAATAGAAAATCATTAGCATTCTACTACTTTTCAGAAGATTTCTGAACCCAAGGAAACAGAATCATCTTTTTAAGCTTTCTGTTAAAGCACAAGAGCCTCATCTTCTAAGAGAATTGATTTATGTAAGCTAGCAGCTCTTCCTTCAACAGGTGAGAAATCCTTCTGAAAACAAAACAGAAAACACAAGAAGTGGCCTCTCCTTGCCCCATCTAAAGCAATTTCCCAGGAGAGTAGCCTGGCACATCTCAGGACAGAATCCATGTCACTCTGAGAAGCCACAGAAGACTGCCATTGCTTCCAGCCTTCCCTGTACTCACCCACCCTTCAGACCTCACTCGTCGTGACCCACTCTCACTGCGTCCAGTGGCAGCAGGTTCACTGGTGAGACCTTAACCACCCAGGCTGGATGAGTCAATACATTCCCAGTAACAATACAAGCTACTGACTTACACAGCTATATACCTCTGTATGTGCTTTTCTTGCTCATGCTCAACCAAAGCCAAGATCTTTACTGCCTAGTCCAGTCTGCTCAGTTGGGTTACCATCCAGGATGGCATCTGTTGAACTAATCACTTCTGTTTCATCTCTTATCCAGATGATGGTTCCTGTTAGCTTTGAGTGTTTTATATTATTGTTAATCAAGAAACTGACTTGTCTCTCTATCTGTAAAATCTGCCTTTCAAATAAAAATAAATAAATCTTTTAAAAATGTCATCTATATGAGCAAAATTGACAACTTGACGATTTTTAAAAGAGTATGGGAAGGAAGACAAATAGAGAACCAAGAGAAAAAAGACCCAGAATGTTGGATGCAAACAGCTGAGCTGAAATGGCATCTTCTTCTTAAGCAATAGTTTTTGGGTTTTTTTTGTTTGTTTGTTTGTTTGTTTCTTTTTGAACCTGCCATTGATACTGTCTCAACCCATGTGCTTTGAAAAATTGAACTTGCATTATTTCTAACATATTGTCTACTCAATACTACGTCAATTAATTCCCTAACACTGTATATTGTTGCTGATGTTTTGTTGGGGCTTTTAACTGACCGGGACTTTACTCTGTTAACTCTACCCTCAGACCAGAGAAGGTCTCCCCAAGAAGCCATTGAACTTATCTGGACAATAAGATGCTGGACTCTGTGCTAGGTATATGCTTGCAATGAAGGAATCTCAACTGAACTTGAACTGTGGTTATGCAGCAAAGTGGAGGAATCCACCATGGAGGGAGGGTTGTGGGAGGGAGAGGTCAGGGGAATCCCAGTGCCTATAAAACTGTTTCACATAATACAATGTTATTAACAATAAGCAACAGTTTGAGTGCCTTGGTGCCTTCATGCCAGTCATTGTCCTTGCTCAGGTCAGATCTGGAGTTGTCTTCCAGAATCTGGTTTGCTGGGCTTCAAAGATGCAGACTTACACTCTAGTATGATGGGTCCAGGCATCGGAGCCTATGCCCTTGAGCAGCCATCAACTTTCATGTGCCCTAAAGGAACTCCCATCTGCAAAGAGGTCCAGTTTGGGTTTTCTAGGGGAATTTCTTTAAGATATTCTCTAGCTGCATATCTGCAAGACTACCTGTTCACAATCAGGTCTAGGGCCTTCCATTGGAAGAAAGCGGCAGGACAAGGAGCATGCCCAATTTGAACTGCAAGGCTTTCTAGTAATGTCTGGTGTGTCTATAGCCAGTTATCTATTAACTTCCTTTTGAGGCCAGCAATCCAGTTATGTCATGTGGTGTGTACACTATTAAATCCTGCCTCAAGAGAGCTCTGGTGGTTTCACAGTTTAGGAGGGTGATTGCAGCCACTGCTCTGAAGAAGGTTGGCCATCCCTTGGACATAAATCAAGTTCCTTACTAAGATATCCTGCAGGTTGCTGAGCTGATCCTCTAGATTGAGTTAATACTTCTAAAACTACCCTTTATCTTTCAGTTAGAAATTAAAGACTGTACTCATAGGTAGATTTAGGGCAGGGGCTTCAAGTGCAAACACACTGAGAATTGAAGTCCAGAGGAATGCAAAAGGCATCCTTTATATTTGACATGGTGGGGGCCAGTGCAGCAGTGAAACAGGCTAATCATCTGCTGTGTGGCACCAGCATTCCATATGGGTGCCAGTTCAACTTCACTTCTGATCTCTGCTTACGGCGTGGGAAAGCAGCAGGGCTGGACCAAGTCCTTGGGACCCTGTACCCACATGGGAGATCTGGATGTAGCTCCTGACTCTCAGCTTCGAATCAGCTCAGGTCTGGCCACTGTAACCAGTTGAACCAGTGGATGGAAAACATCTTTCTCTCTGTAAAATCTGTCTTTCAAATAAAAAAAATAATAAATCTTTTAAAAAACAAAAAGAAAAATTTGAAATGATAAACTAGATCATTGCTTCTGGGATCCACGACATCAAGGCTACGCTGGCACCAGGAACCTTAGAATGCTTGCGTACCAAAGCTTCAGTATGAGACAGAGGTCTTGTACTGATCTGCATTCTCACTGGGCTTTTGAACCCATAGAGCTGGAGTGCTGCAGGGATTTCAAAGTCCTTGCACCTTAAAGTTGCTTTCTATGGCATTTGGCCCTTCTTAAGTGTGGGCAAGCAAGTGCCAGGATGGGTTTGGCCTACTTAGCACATGTAAGGGGCAGCAGGAGCATGGTTTCGGTGCATGTCTAGAGACCTGAGACCCCTTCCCTACCTTGGTTTCGGTGAAAGCCTTGAGACCCCTGCGGACCCATGCAGTTGGCAAGTAGCCTGAGGCCCTCTAAGTATTTCCCTCCCTTTCAACCTCTTCTGGTAATTTGAGTATTTTCCAGTAGCTTGGTTGTCTCCTCCCCCCTGCCTACCCTGGCCCATACCATCTTGTGGTAAATTTGTGATAGTCTTGTAATAAACAACTCCAGGATGCCAGTGAGTTATATAAGTTGTGGTGGGCTACACAGTGCGACCTGACAGTATGTGACAGCTGTACTGATTGACTAGGCTAATAATATATAATAGATGCTTATATCTGAAAGAAATATTGTGTCTACCCGAAGACTTGTTCCCCTGAACCCTTTCTATAAAAGTTTGTGCTTGGTTATCAATAAATGGACAAGTTCACTATAATTGCCTCCAGTATGTCTCTATTGACAATGTCATCACCACATCACATTGCCTGGGTGGGTGGTCTGTGGCTCTGCCCCGCCGCTTCCAAGTCTCAGGTCTTAATGGAAACTGTCTTTGATGAGGGCATATGGATTTTTTTTTTTAAGCTAAACAAGCTGAGTCAGACCAGCTTTTTCCTGAGTACTCTCCATTCTTTGGGATTGAGGTCTATCTCTGAAATTTCCTCAGGTCCTATAAGAACTATTGAATACATCTGGGCCAGGAGGTCTCTACCTAGAAGAGGTGTTGCTGGGCTTTCCAGTATGATCAAAAATGAGTGTTACATCATACGAGACACAGCTCAAAGGTTGGGTGAAATATTTAACCTGACGGGTCCTGAAACACTTTTTATGGTCACATTATGAGACTATGAGACAGTGGGGGTGCCAAAACTGGAGTAGAGGACAGAAAGTTGCTCTGGTGACTAGAAGGAATTTTCTAAGTCTTCCTTCTATTTAAGAACTTTGCAGGGTTCCTGGGTGCTAATCTGATGTGTCACCAGAGCCTGGAAAGAGGGTCCTTGCTCCTCCGTCTTGGGTGAGAGGGAGGTCTACTGGAGATGCCTAACAGCAGAATTCTTGGCCTTTAGGGACACTCAAGCTCCCAGTGGTCTCTTCTACAAATAGGACATGGCCCTGGAGGTCCACTCTGACAATCTTGGACAAATGTCCACTGCTGCTGCCAACAGATGCACACCTCTCCTTAAACTTGTTTGCTCCTATTTGTAAGTCCTCTCCTGATCCTTGCTACACAAGACTGTCACAACCACCTGCAAGAATCATCAGGGTGCTTTCAGGATCCCCTGTGGATTTTTATAGTTTTCTCCTGATGTCTGGAGCAGACTGGATCAGGAATTGTTTCTTTGAAATTGCCTGTCCTTCTGCAGAAATCAGGAGCTAAGCAGGGTATATTTCATTAAAGTCTCCCTTAGGCATCTGTGAAGACAGAGGGATTTTCCCATGGTTCTTGGTCTATCCGAGATCCTTTAGAGTAGCTGAGTGGTTTGGCTCTAATTATCTTTAGGTCCTCTATAACACAGACAACAAGACACTTCCTTTTTTTAATCACCTGCATGACTTAGGATCCTAGTGAGGATTGTTCTGGGGCCTGTTCATCTGTAGGGAAAGTCATCTCTTATTCAGATTGTAATTTTAGGGTCATGTCCATGGGATATATACGATGCACCCATAAATCCTTTGCCACCTACACAATTGCAAGCTTCTGTGACCTTGTTAGAGTCCAGTGGAAGAGCAATATTACTTCCTTCAAGGTTAACTCAGACACCCATGCTAAATTCTGGAAGTCCTCTATAGTATCTTCAGGGCCATCTGTGAAAGTATGCAAATCTCCTTAAATCTCCCCAAGGCCTTGCAGAGAAAAGGGCCCTGGTCAATTAGCCTGAGGCTCTGCCGGAGCTAAAGCTTTGACAGAGAGAACAAACCTTGGGAGTAAGGGGATTACCGGGAGGTGAATGGTGTCGTTAAACACTTCCCCTGGAGGCTAACTTTCTCCATCCTCTAGTTTGTATCTAGGCCAGGCAGTGGTGACTGTCAGCCTCAGACTTTGTTTTAAAGGTGGGCATGTGTGTATATGTGTGTAAAGAATCTCCAGATCTGAGGTTGCACCCCAAGGGAGTACCTGCAACAGATGGGTTTGTTTCCCATTTGGAATGAGAATAAACAGAAGCTTCCTTCAGCTTTTCTCTTGAGTTTGTGTCTCTCAAACTCTCTGGCATCCAGACATGCATAAAGAAGGGAAGAAAGTGCAGGTGGGACTAGCACATATGGCCCATCTTGCTAATCTCTCCATGACTGTAACCCAGGACGTGGATTTGCTCTGTAAGGGGCTTTCTCTGACTGCCCCTTTCTTAAAATCCTAGATATTACTAATCAGAGAAGCTGAATAACAGATAATTAGAAGACAGGAGTTAGAATGCTGCCTACCTTTGGTAACGCTAAGTGCAGTTAACTGACATAACTGCCTTCCAACTGAACTGCCCTTTAGCCTAACATCTCACAGTTCAACATACGGTATGTCTTATACATACAATACATTCTGAATCTTCGGCACGTGACAACAATAACCAACCAATTGTCTTCAGTTACAATCACCACCACCCTCACACACGCCTCAAACCCAATGAGAACAAGACAGTCACAGCACCTCACTGGGCAGCTATTAACTGGGCACATATCCCCACAGATCTGCCTGTTCTCTCAAAGGTGAACCCTTTCAGATCACACTTGGTCTAGTATTTTAGGGTCTATGGGTACATTCCAGGGCAGGACTCTCTGGAACTGGTGTTTCTAAAGCACTTGTCTCATGGTGAAAAGGGGATTGACTCCAGTTTCTGCTCCGTGCTCACTCTCGGTGGGTATCATCCAAGAGCTGTTGTAGCACACCATCCTCTCCTTCCCCATCATTCTAAGGTCCCTTGCTAACTGTGGGTTACAAGAGCCTGGCTGAATGTGCTTGGTACTCTGAGGACTGGATCTGTAATCCTGCCCAAAAACAGTCACTGGAAATTGCCCCTTCAAAGAATCTTCTCCCTGAGCCACTATCTCTGATGCCACCTCATCAGAGGGGCCAGGAATTCCATCCTAGCCTTCCAGGTGTTTGGCAGGGAGCTGAATGAAAGTGGAGCAGCCAGGATTTGAACCAGCATTCCTATGGCATTCCCTGTGTGAAAGATGGCAACTTAACCCCAGGGATGCTGCAATGCTGACCCTGCTGGGCCTTCCTGATGTCTAGTAAAGCCCACCCTGAACATAGCACTACATCCCAGGCATCACTGGGATTCACGGCCTATTCCAAATTACATCAAAATGTGACATTAGCAAAATAAAAAATGAGCAAAAGGATCCACACATTTTTGTCAAATATTCTTCATCAGCTTGTTCAAGCTGCCATTTAAAAAAAAATACATAAAATGTGTGGCTTACGTAACAGAAATTTTCTCACATTTCAGGAAGCTGAGAAACCAAAAAAATCAAGGTGCAGGCCAATTTAGTTTCTGGTGAGGACTCTCCAGAAACTAACCTGGGAGATAGCCACCTTCCCCTGTATCTTCATGAAAACAGCCCCATCTCTTGCTTCCTCTTAGGAGGCCACTAATCCTACTAGAGTAAGACTCCCACCTCTACCTTTACACTCTCAGCCTTAATGACCTCCTAAAATCCTATCCCCAAAGACAGCTTCAACAACCGAATCTGGGGGAGACAATCTAAGAAGTCTATAACCCAAAGGGCCAGTGCTGTGGCACAGCACATTAAACAGCCTCCTGCAACACTGGCATCCCAAAAGGGTGCTGGTTAGAGTCCACTTCTGATCCAGTTCTCAGCTAATATACCTAGGAAAGCAGCAGCAGCAAGAGACCCAAGTGTCTGAGCCCCTGCACCCATACTGCATCAACACGCACTGTGGGAAACCTCCAAAGCACGTGTTCTTTCCCTTGATGAATTTACATCCTGGTTAAGAGATCCACACATGATTATTATGAACTGCTCTACAATAGTCAGCTCCCTGCTTAACGTATAGATGTGATGATGGTTTCACAAATTCCTTTCCATGAGTTATTCCCCCAATCTCTCACTACCCCTAAACATGAAGGGCAAGCTCCTACACCATACTCTGCTATTACAGGACTATGTTAAATAAATTTTGTAAGACACTGCTGATTTGGATAGGGCCCCTGCATTAAGCAGCAGGACCTGTGGCCAACCAACTAAGCTGCAACCAATTCACTGGTTGATAGACTAGGCAAGAGGGAGCCAATTGAGTTGTTTTCTACGTCTCTCATCTGTTTTTCTGCAAATACTATCAGATTGCTGGCTGGAGTTCTCAGAATCTGTGCTGGTTGTTGGAGCTGACCCATCAATGAAAGGCTTTTTGTTTGGTTTGTCTTGGCTCAAACAAGTCTCTCTTTCGAGCAGTTATTTTACATTTTGAGTTCAGGGACTCTAGGGATAGTTGACTTACAGAGAAAACACAGCAGCAGCCTCAACCAACAGTGGGTCCTTAGCGAACCCCCAAAACCAAAATGTTAGTTTCAAACATCAACAGCCCCTCTGAGAAACTCCCCATCGTAGTCCTGACTCCTGGAACAAGGAGTGCCAGAGTTTCCTCATTAACAAGAGATCACGGAGAAGCAGAGAGACCCTTAAAACAGCAACAGCTTCAGAATTAGCTAAGGGATTGAGATCCCACACACGGCACCTGGGCTTCACATCAACTCCTGGAAGACAGGCAGTGTCCTGATGCACTCAATAAGCTTTAAAAACATTTCTGGCACCTTTACCCTCTGCAACACAGCCCCAGCAGGGAAGGTGCAGGTATCCTACTGTGGAAAACCACACTGCCACGAACCGCTGCCTGCCTGCTTCCATTAGCTACTTCTGGGGCACCATGACAGATGCTGGGAACGAACAGAGTGGCAGTCAAGCCCTGAGGACTGGTTGGTACCCTCCTCACCTGAGACATCTAGCCTCCAGCCCGCATGAAACATGACATTCTAAACTTAATGCCTGTCTAGTTGTGAAACCTTAGTAGAATGTCCTGGGAGCATGGTGGCCATTTTTTTTTCAATATTTGTTTACTTAATTGAAGTCAGAGTCACAGAGAGAAGGGGGAGACAGAAAAAGTGGTCTTCCATCTCTTGCTTCATTTCCCGGATAGCCGCAATGACCTGGGAGGAGCTTCTCCCAGTCTCCCGTAGGAGTGATAGGAGCCCAAACACTTTAGGACACCTTGAACTTGCTTTTCAAAGCAGGTGCATTAGCATGGAGTTGGACTGGACACAGAGCAGCCCACGTGGGACGCTTGCATCTCAGGGAGCTTTCAGACCCGCTTCTCGATTGGACGCCGGGTGCAGGTGTGGCACAATTTGCCCCAACCTTGTTTTCTTGTACTTCGTGGAAGAGAGGCTGCGCGATGGGGGAGGAGGGACCATCCAATCCTCACCAACCTGACTTCCCGGCCCCTTAAGGGGCTCCCCCACAGGAACCCGAGAGCAGTACCCGACCCACACCGGCTCGGGGCCGCGGGGCACAGGCGGTACGGGTTCGGGCTCGACTCCGGCTGCCACAGCCCACAGCACCGCTCCCTACTCACCCTTGTGGCAGTGGGACAGGAAGTAGGCGCGGGCCCTCAGGTTCTCCCGGTCGAAGCGGTCTATGGAGATGGTTGGATACTCGGCCATCTGGCCCTCAAAGCAACTCATCGCGCCGCCGACCCCGACCCCCCGGCTGCCGAGGGAAGCCCAGGCCGACTCTGACCGCCCCACTACTTCCGGGAACTGCGCGCCGCCTCCTCATTGGCTGACCGGGCTCAGCCTGGGCCAATCAGAGGAGCCCACGGTCCGAGCGCAGCCGAGGAGAGCCGAGTGGGGTTCCCGCCTGGGCGCCTAGCGGTTTAAATATCCTAGAAGCCCGAGTTTGCCTGGTCCTAAAGTGGCCAGCAGGGAATTAAGGCTATACAGTCAAGAGTCTCATCTCTGCCAGAAATCAACAAAACCTGAGTGTCCCTCTACTGAAGAGTCGCCCGTGTCAGTAAAGTTACACGTACAATAGGGTGGAGGAAAAGCCATTTATCGCCTAGCAGGTGACCACATCTGAGAAGGCGAAATGGGTCAAGCAGGTGTGCTTTCAAACCAGACTCAGTTTGGCTTCCTACTTGGAAACTGAACGTGTTTTTCTCTTTTTCTCTGAATTGTACGAGAAGGTTGCCTCTGAGGTAGATTCTCTATTAGTTTCATCTTCCATGTATATGTCCCGTCTACAAATGTGGCTAAGCCATCCCTGATGAGCACAACTCAGATAAATGATGTTAAGTAAATTAAACACACACACACACACACACACACACACACACACACACACACACACACACCAAGTAATGTTTTAGGCTCTTGAAGCTACATTGTAGCAAGCCAGAAGGATTTAGAGAAGAGAAAATGCATGATGGGGCAAAGGTCTGACAAGGTTTTAGTATTAAGATTCACTAAATAGGGCCCGGCGCGATAGCGTAGCAATAAAACTCTTCCCCTTCAATGCTCCAGGGTCCTATATGGGCACTGGTTCTAATCCCGGCAGCCCTGCTTCCCATCCAGCTCCCTGCTTGTGGCCTGGGAAAGCAGTTGAGGACGGCCCAAAGCATTGGGACCCTGCACCCTTGTGGGAGACCTGGAAGAAGCTCCTAGCTTCGGATCAGCTCAGCACCAGCTGTTGCGGTCATTTGGGGAGTGAACTATCGGACATCGGACGGAAGACCTTCCTCTCTGTCTCTCCTCTGTGCATATCTTCCTTTCCAATAAAAATAAAAAATAAATCGTTAAAAAAAATTCACTAAATAAAAAGTCACTGCAGATGTATTATGCTTTTCCCAAGTAAGTCCCTGTAGATATCATAATGTTTAATCACAAACAACTGGAAAGTTTTTTGAAATGCTGGCTGTGCAGGGCACGATGACAAGACCTGTAGTAGTTACACAGCTGGGAAGTGTCTCCCAGAAATGAAGCTAAGCCTCTACGGCGCCTCTGACACAGGTGCTGTGATATTGGGTTCGAATCTCCGACTCCCAGCCGCCCACTTTGGGATTCGAGTTTCCCTGTCCTACTTTTATGTTACTCATCACCCTCTTCTCAAGATGAACTGGATTGACATGTGGATGCAGCCACCTTGGCAGTGTTTCTGATTATGAAATTCAGATCATTTCTCTTCCCTGGAGATAATATCTTCATGCTTGGTCTTGTCTTGAGGACTTTCTATCCTCCTAGGAACTCCAGGACCCAAAGAACTACTGAAACCCACTTTGTCATTATTAGAATTCCAGGGGAACATGATATTACAGACTAATTAAAAGAGGGCCATGGGTCCCAGCATGATGGATCAGTGGTTACATCCTCACCTTGAATGCGCTGGGAACCCATATGGGCACCAGTTCATGTCTCAGCTGCTCCACTTCCTGTTCAGTTCCCTGCTTATAGTCTAGGAAAGCAGTAGAGGACGGCCCAAAGCCTTGGGACCCTGAACCCATGTGGGAGACCCAAAAGAAGCTCTTGGCTCCTGGCTTTGGAACAGCTCAGCTTCAGTCATTACAGCCACTTGGGGTGTGAATCAGTGGAGAGAAGAACTTGCTGTCTGTATCTCTTCCTCTCTGTGCTTCTGATCTGCATTTCCAATAAAAATTAAAATAAGTCTTTTTTAAAAAAAAATAAGAATAAATAAATAAAAGAGAGCCATAAGCACTATAGGCCACCCGGGGATCAGACCACCAGCTGAATGCGCACATCTGAATCCCAACTCCATTCTCTAGGAATCTTTGTCCCTAGTCCCTGGGAAAGCCCAAGGAATGAAGCCATAACTGCCTAGCTGTTTGCTCTGCGCTTTGCAATACATACCTGCTTTCATCTGCTGACAGGGGTGAGCTTAGGTGTTAGGTGAGAGTAGTCAGGTTTGGGAAGTTCTACAAGTGGTGTTCAACCACTACAGAGATGGCAGGCTTGCAGTGCATGGTAAATCGATGCCCCCTCAGAGACACAAAGTAATATAGGAACAAGCCAGAAATAATAAGTTATAATCAGAGAAATTAGAAATCAGAATGTTAGTCTTGAGTCTCATCTTGTTCATATGGACATGAACTCAGAGTTTTATTGAAGTACATATTCTCAGGAGGGGTTGGGGTAGAGGATGGGAAGGACAGAAGGCATGACCATATGTATGAGTAAAATAATCTGCTAGCAGGATTCTAATTTGGCAAAAGATGGGTTGTGTTACAATTAAGGACTCTTGCTGAGGCTAGACTGCCAATGCCTAATGGCAAATTCTACAGTAAGTTTGGCATCTACAGAATCCCTCAGAAGTAGGAGCTCATGGAAATCTTCTTCACCTACTTAGCTACTTTCCACAGCAAATACACTGCGAAAGAATATAGGGAAACTGCAGCTTAGCAGATTGAGCTGACATATCATATGGGTGCCAGCTTGAGTCCCAGCTGCTCCACGTCTGATTCAGCTCCCTGCTAATATGACCTGGGAAAGCCACAGTGGAAGACGTCCCTAGTTCTTGGGTGGGAGAGCCAGAACCACCTCTGGGCTCCTAGCTTTGGCCTGCCTAGCCCAGCCCTAGCCACTGTGGCCATTTGAGGAATGAACAAGTGATTGGAAGATCTCTCTCTCTCTGTAACTCTTTCAAATAAAAGTCTAAAAAGGGGGGAGGGCAGTGGTGACGCAGGGAACAACATACATCTAGGTTGATTTCATATCTTAGTTATTGTGAATTTAGTTTCTACAAACATGGAAGCTCAGGCAGTCTTCCATGAGCTGATCTCATTTCCTTTAGATATATTCCCAGGAGGGGAATATCTGAGTGACATGATAAATCTACTTTAATTTTCTGAACACTCTCTATACTGTTTTTCCATGATTGTTATGCCAATGTACATTCCCACTAACTGTGTGTTAGGGTACTTTTGTCTGCACAATTTTGCCAGCAATTTTTATTTTTGTTTTTTGGACAATAGCCATTCTAGCTGGATTGAAGTAATACCACATTGTTGTTTTGATTTACATTTTCCTGATGGTTAGTGACCCTACACATTTTTTTCTTCAGGTAACTTTGAAAAATGCCTTCTCATATACTTTGTCCATTTCTTAATTAAATGGTTTTATTGTTACTGAGTTTCTTGGGCTCCTTATATGTTCTGAATATTAATCTGTTAGAGGATAGTTTGAAAATATTTTCCCATCCTGTCAGCTCACTCCATATTATTTGTTTCCTTTATTGTGCAGAGATGCTTAACTTGATGTAACCCCATTTCTCTTTTTGCTTTTATTGCCTTTGCTTCTGGGATCTTATCCAAGAAGCCTTTGCTTAGGCCAATGTCTTGCAGCATTTCCTCTAGCAATTTGCTAGTTTGGGGGCTTAAGTTTAAGACCTTGGTCTACTGAGTTGATTTTTGGAAAGGATAGAAGATACAGGTCTTGTTTCAAGCTTTGCATGTGGAAATCCAATTTTGCCAACATCATTTGTTGAACAGATTGTTCATTCTCCAGAGAATGATGTCAACTTATTTGTCAAAGAGTAGTTAGTTGGTTATACATCTGTGAGTTAATTTCTGGGGTTTCAATTCTGTTCCAAAGGTCTACATGTCTATTTTTGTGCCAGTACCAGAATGTTTTGATTGCAACAGTCATGAAAAATAGACATGTAGACCTTTGGAACAGAAACAACAAGAAAAAAATTAACAGAGAAAGTGAATCTGAAGTCAACTTCCAGGCCCAAGAACAACTGAAGTCCCTTGAAGAGTATTCATTCAGGATGATACAATTACTTACTCTTAACCTAAGTATTGCTCTTGAAATGGATGAAATCATACAGGTTTAAGAGAGAAGTTGAGGCTGAACTGGCAAAGTAGGAACCAGATTATCAGGGAGCTTGTACACCAGGTCAGATTTACACTCTCCCTTGAATGTGGATGGCATATAGGATAGTTTTAAAACAAGGAGTGACTGGTAAGAAGTTCACACTTCGTTGACTCTGAAATAGCACTACCAAGAACATCTGGGAACTTGGTGCCCTAGCACAAACTTGCTGAATCAGAACCCCTAGATGTGAGGCTCAGAAACCTGAGTCTTAATACACCTTCCAAGTGATTCTGATAGATACTAAAGTGGGAGAACCACCGGCCTGGAGCTGGATTAGGCAGCCTGGGAAAGGCAGTCCAGGTAAACACTGCTCAATGCCCCACAGGAGGCGATAGTAGGGGTGAGTTTATTCATTCAACAGTCACCGGCCCTTTACGCTATGGATCAGTGCCTTTGAATTCTCGGCACTGATGGAAATATTGCTCACTACCGTTTATGAAGCAGCACCCAGATATTGCCCAAATTGTTTTATACGTTTTATTTCATCCTCACAACAAGGCCATATACTCGGCATAGTTTCTGTCCTTGTGGTACTACAGTTGAAGAGATGAAGCTCAGCAATTTGCACAGGGTCCTGCTGCTAGTGAGTAGACCTCTGAATCCAAAACACCCACTCTCCTAGCTACCTCACCATGCTGATTCTACAGGATCAGATTAGTGGTAAATAGATCAGTATAAAATAGACTGCTTTAACACCTACTGTGTGCTAAGTTCTGTTAAGGCGGTATGGTTGAGGCACTCCAATCCAGAGCTATAGAGGAAGGAAGTCAGGACTGGGTACACATCCGGTAGGGCTTTGCTGGTTTTGTAAGGACTGGTTTTTAATCTGCATCACCTGGA